ACCACGTAAACCTTCCACGGTTAGTCTGACGGCAAATTGCACTCTAATCCATGATCCGTCTACCTCTGAGAATATATTAATTCAGCACTGCAATCAGTGCAAGCCGGGTGTGGAATTCGAATCGACCAGTCATCACTGGGATTCGAACCCGATTCACTTCATTGGAAGGAGCACGGTCTATCCCCTGAGCCACCACGGCTCCCATCTATAACCGTTGTTGAACAGCCTTGTAATTTGTTTTGTAATTTCCTTAGTTTTGTAATTTCCTAGTTTTGTAATTTCCTTAGCCTTGTAATTTTGAACCAATCCAGAAGACAAGGAAACTCCTGGATCAGTACCCCCAGAGGTATTGATTTGTTAAGGGAACATTGAGGACTTTGTGACTCGACAGATTTAACGTGCATCAGTCACCATTTACTACACGGAGAATCTTCGGCCGACAGGTCAACCACTCGACCTCTTGGACATGGGTCCAGTGCCCTACCAACCAAGCTATCCCGGCCTCCATCTGGCATATTGGCAATTTCCTACAAATTTGAGGGGGCACTTTATCGGGGAATTAGTGATAACTTAATCGCGATAATCATTGGTGAGTACTGACCATGCCCAGTCGGGCAAGTAAAAAACTCATCAGAATTCTTACATAGCCCGGACATGTTGAGCTCTGATAATATAATTTTTGAGTCCTGATATCAAGACTTCATGTGAATAAATTTCAGGGAAAGACTACCATTTAAATTTTTAATAATCAACATCGTTGCTTAGCCAAGATAAGCTGCTTGTCCATTGCTTTTTGTGGGTAATGCACCTCAAGTTTTGTCTGGAAATCATCAAAATGAATCTCAGCTGATGCCGAAGAACATATTAATTCCCCTACTATCATTATTGTTCTACTACAATGATCCAAAAGGAACAGGAGGGGGGGGGGTTGGAGAGCAAATCGCACCTTACGGGAGCACAATACCATCCTTGATGGACAGCATCTTGCTTTGGAAGCAAGCTAAGCATCTATCTCAGCAAACAAGGCTCATTAGAAGATAGGCGTCGAATCAGTAGAAACGCGGATTGAAAGATGAAAGAGCTTCTGGCAGACCCCCCCCTTCCCATTTACCTTAGAACATTATAGAAGGGGGTGAGTGAAAAGGAAGATGGGAGGTAGAGAGGCGAGATGCTTTGGAGCAAATTAATTCCACGCCCCGTCGCTCATCTTAAGTTCAAACAGCTGTTATTACATATTTGGGGTTACTCCTACTGGTTCCGTCTGTTCGTTTCTTAAGATGGTTGCGAGGGGTCGTGCATTAAATGAAGTGTTAATATTTTTACGAATGGTAACGTCTAGATTTATTACACTTACAGAACCTTCGTGAAATTAGGACATCAGATTAAAAGTACCGGAACTGTTTCGCAATTAAAGTAATTGTTTTTGTTTTATGCCGAGAAGTATATATACCAAACCAAAGATTTAACATGGGAAAGATGTATGGCACTGAACTATTTCATTTATTGTTTTTTCTGAAGTTAGGACATCAAATTAAAAATATCAAAGTTGTAGTTACTTTTATTTTATTCTTAGATGTTAAAATACTAAACCACTGATTTAACATGGGAACGATGTATGTTTCTATACCATAGCTTTTTTATAATAGTATTTTCTTTATACAGCTATATAGTGAATATAGGACATCAGATTAAAAGTACCGGAACTATTTCCCAGTTAAAGTAATTGTTTTTGTTTTATGCCGAGAACTATAAATACCAAACCAAAGATTTAACATGGGAACGATGTATGGCACTGAACCATTTCTTTTATTGTGTCTTTTGAAGTTAGGACATCAGATTAAAAATATCAATGTTGTAGTTACTTTTATTTTCTACTGAGATGTTTAAATACTAAACCACTGATTTAACATGGGAAAGATGTATGCTACTGTACCATTATAGAGCTTTTTTATAATAGTATTTCTTTTATACAGCTATATAGTGAATATAGGACATCAGATTAAAAGTACCGGAACTATATAGGTGTATAGTATAACTGCTTTTTTCGATGCTGAGAAGTTCAAAGACTAAACTAAATATTCAACATGGGAATTATGTATGATATTGTACCATTTCATTTATTGGTTCTCGCCCTATGAAGTTTGGACATCAGATTAAAAGTATCGGAGCTGTATTTACTTTTGTTTTATGTTGAGAAGTTAAATTCAAATCACTGATTTAACAAGAAAAGATTAATGGTTCTGCACCATTTTAATATTCAATGTAAAACCATTCATATGTTTGTAAATTTATAGGTTTAGAGAAAGCTTCGTCATTTTTTGATGACATTTTTTTTATATGCCAAAGAAGAGGGCTCGGTATATTTTGGTAGTCAAATCTATTTATGAAAAAAAAAACAATGATTATTAATGCATTGTAATACATTTCTAAGTTATCGCTAAGTTATTTTTCAAAAATTTTTTTTTTTTATAAATTAAATAGTAAAAATGTATATATTCCTCACGCTATTCCAATCAATACGCGTATTGAATTCGAAAATTTCTCTGCAAATTTGATATAATCGAATCACTACATTAATATTTATCACAAAAATTAAGAAAGAGCCTCAATGCTTCTAAGCATACAAGCATTTAATAGAAGTCGCGCTATTATTCCAACTTAGTAAATATTTTATTCCTCATTGGTTGAGTTAACACAAAATGTCATCATAAAACATTTTTATCGTAAAAATTAGAAATGCATCCCATTCGTTTGTATGTTCGTGAAATCACTTATGACACTCAGTTTCAGAGCATTTGAGTTTTGGTACATATAACGAATATTCCTTCGAATTTAACTAAATTTTTTTCCCAATGAAACAAACTATGTTAACATGTAATAAATTCTTGGAAGCTCCGACTCCTGCACTCGCAAAACTTTCGTTTTATAAGGACCATCATTTAAAATTTGTATACATAATTATACATACTGTATACTCGTAAAATTAAAAATAAATAGTGAGGGAAAATTATTTCTTTCATTTAATTATCTTTAAGTAAGCGAATTTTGTAATTTGCGTGTCAGAGATATAGAGAAAAAAGGCATAATTTGGAAATAATACTGATGTTTAAAAATCTGCGATGCTAAAAATGAATAAATAAATAAAAAAACACTTTTTGGAACAAACGCCCTTTGATCCACTAATTTGACTTTATGACCCTTAAAAAAAGGGGGGGAGGGAGGGAGCCGCAATCTGTAAAATGTAATCCTTAATTTAGGCAGGAAAACGGTCGAAATATCGAGTCTTTTAATTTCCAATTTTTCGCGCATCACTTTATCTCTAGAATTGTTTGAGATCCAAAGATAGTATGAAAATAATTATTTATTGTAATACTAGTCATAAAAATTTTGAATTATAGGATAGATAAACTTATACATTATTTTTTATTATGCGATTTTAAATAACAAAATCATTCAAACAGTTCTCGAAAATTGAAACTTTAAAAAAACGACTTTTTCGAAACAAGATGAAAAAATTGATACTAACATATTACTGGGACCGTATTTCCCATATTGTGGCTACCCCCAATGAATCAGAAATCCGAATCCGTTGAAAAAAATATATGCTTATTTTGAGAAAGTTTCAGTTTCTGAAACTTAAAATATCGTTATTATTATGTTAATGAGAAGAAAAAAAGTTTTTAGATAATGAAGAGTCATTATCGAGGTAGGATTCAAAGCATCATAACCAATTTGATTGTAGTGTGAAATTGAAAGGCGTTGATAATCCTCGTTACAATGTAACTACTACCGAACAAATAAACTGGTTCAATTAATTTTAATTCCATTGGTTATTTACATAATTTTTGACAAGGATTCTAAAATCGATTGATTAAAAAATACTAAAATAATGGAGTGTTCCACCTTGTATAACTTTAGATCTAATGATCGGATCTTCACGTTCCAGAACTCCATAAATCGACGCATTCTGGGAAATATGGTCCCAATAGTTTTGTCAGGAGAGCTCTTTAAAGTTTGGACCTCTTAATGTGTTAATTCTACTTTCTGCGTATTTCTCTTATGTCTCGAGAACTGTTTAGATGAATTTTAAACATTTTGCATACAATTATAAGATTCGTTTATACAAAGATAATTCTCTGCAAAAAAAAAAATATTGTCTGCACTTTTTAATTAGCATATTTGATGCCACCCGTTCGAAACATCAAGGTCCTAAAACGTCAGGATCTTATCATTAGATTAAAAATAATTCAATTTGGCCCTTTTTTTTCGGACTGTATGTTGTATTTTGACTTACCACTTCTGCAAAGTCTGCAGCATATTAATTTGTAATAGTTTACAACCGGTATTAAATGGTCACTCTAGATTTCAATTCCGTAACCTAATAGTTTTTTATTATCCGGTTAAAGCAATAGAGCAAATATAAATATGCCTTCTTAAAGCTTTTAAGGGCTTTTTTAAAAATAAATCCTTTATTTAAGATATATTGAGGATAAATTCTATATTTTTTAAATAAAGAAAATATTTTAATAGGTGGAATAAAAAATTCTAAAAGTTCAAGAAATGATACTTTAGTGTCCCATAGTCAATTTATAATCCGTTAAGACAAAAGATAATTATCGGAAAAGAATGCTGGATTTTGGTCAAGAATGGGTGTCTTTGTTAGAAAGCACTATGAACAAGTGCAATCTACGACTGCTCCTGTTCATAGTGCTATCAATGGATTGCTTTTTCCAGTAACAACTGTGCGAAGTTATTTAAAAAATAAGATCAATTTTAAAAATGTTTCTGTAGAGAAGACAAAAATTATGACAACAGACTATAATCAAGATCTGATTTGCACTACAGTAATTTAATGTGAAAGTTACGTTAATGTGATGGCTTTATTGTTTGATAAATATGCAATTTATTTGAATTAAGTTAACTTAAAGAGCTTAGAAAAAGAATTGAAAAATGTTTGCGAAAATGCTAAAATGTTTTATTATTATTTTCTTTCTTTACAGAATCTTTGATATCAAATCCAAGCAACGAAGCTATCATATGCGCCTGGTGCCAAAAAACAGGATTGAAATTGTTTACACTAAAAACTTCATCTGGCAAAACAAAAGTCTTTTGCAGCGAGCCTTGCTTCAACCAGTGTCGAAGAGCAGCTTTTAAAAAGAATCGTGTTTGCAACTGGTGCAGGCATGTGCGACATACAGTGAATTACGTAGACTTTAAAGATGGTGATGAACAACTTCAATTTTGCAGTGATAAGTGTTTGAATCAATACAAAATGCAAATTTTCTGCCGGGAAACTCAAGCTTATTTGCAAATGAATCCACATTTGCAGGAAGAAACGAGCAAGAACATTGGAAATGCCAACTCTAAACTAATTACTCCAGATCTCTGGTTGAGAGATTGTCAAGAGCCGATAAATGGCGGACAAAATTTGTCTCATAGTGATGATGATTCAGTGTCCCCCAATGTGAGAACTTTCCCCCAAAATCCAGTCAGAAAAGAAATAGATCTGGAGGATCTATCAATGAAACACAAATCTGAAAAAATAACATTCCCTCCTCTTCAAAGGGATTATTCCCAAAGTGGGCATAAGAGCCCTGATAATTCTACTTTAGTGAAAGACAAACGCTCACTTGAAATGTGCAATGCTCTATCTTCTTATCTGAGGGAAGAGAGAGACAAAAATTCTGTGGAACGTAGAAGAAAACATTTTGAGAATGACAGAGAACATTTCCGTAAAAAACAACGTCTAGCAAATTTGCGCCACAAAACAAATCCCCACCAAGAAGCCCCTCCAGCTCATTTAGCTTCATCTGTACATCCTTCAATTACGTTTCCTGGACAAAATAGACTTTATCCACCACCTGTGTCACCATATATATCACAAAACTCATCACCCATAAATCCACCTGCTGCTCATTCAAAATCAATACCATCCCATCCAGGAATAGCTGGATCGCTTTTACCACCTGGGTTGCCTCCACCACCGCCATTGTTGAACAATGATTTTATTCATTCTCAATTTAATCCACAATTTTTTCAGCCACCCTTTGGTTCTTTGTCACACCCACAACATTTGGAAGCATTTCTTCGAATGCAATCAACAATGAACAGAAGGACAGATCCTCTGGGATCGCATATATACCCGGATCCTGTGTTACCGAACTTGAAGCCTTCAATGCCACATTTCAATGCAGGATCCTCTGCGCCACCAAACACAGTCATGTTACCTTATCCAATATTCCTGCCACTTCCAGTTCCTATTCCGATACCTATACCTCTATCTTCTTTCTTAAAGAAAGAAAAACAAACAAATGCAAGTGGAATTGAAAGTGGTAAAGCTAAGAATCTTTCGATAAATGGTGAAAGTTCAGATGACAAACAACCAGATACAAAAACAGAAGATAACATGATATCAGTTCTAAAAAAATTAAAAAACTCTAAGCAAAATGTAAATGATACGAGTACGAAAAAAGAAAAGTCTGTACCATCTCCTGATACTTCATCATACGCAGTGACAAATAACGACAGTCAGACAAATCGCCTGATCTTAACTCGAAATAAAAACAGATAAAATAAGGCTCAAATTTAATAGACGGTATGAACAGTAGAGTTCCTGTAGCACAAGTACTTATCACTCATACTATTGTACAGAGAATGTACTATTAGTAGAGTAAAAACTAATTTATATGTAAATTAAACTTTTTTTTCTAGTTTGGGAGAAATAAAATACGTGCATCATGTTTTCAATTCATTAATTCCATGAACACAAAACACTAAAATTGTACTGAAAATAACTATTGTGTTCGCAAATAATACATAAGTTTACAAAAAGAAAAACAGAACAAAAGATTTTGAAATTTAGACTAAGATTAATAAAACTACAAGTACATTTGAAGCGGTCAATGTTAAAACGGGGTAATGTTACAAATCCGCTATTTCAAAAAACAAAAAAAAAAATCCAAAACCGTGTCAATTGTGGAAAGATTGTTTCAATTGCTTCCCAATTGTTGTATCCTCTTCATTAGGCAGTCTAGAAAATTACTTGGCATTTGATATCAAGTTTCTACACAGTTTTTTTTGGTTTTTCTCGAAAACGTAATTTTGTAACATATCCCCTTTTAACATTGACCGCTTCATTTATATAGCAAATTTAAAGATAACTTATAACGAATAATTAGAGATAATTTTTCTTGAATTATGTTTAGAATATTATGCATACTTGAGTTGATAACAAAATAAATATCTTTGCATAATTAATTCAAGAGTAAATTATAAATACTTTTATTTTACTCATTAAGTATTATTCAATAGCAAGAAATTGCTAAAAGATTATTTTTTTTAGATAAAGAAATCATTTGAGAATTATAATTTTATTTGAGACAAATGTCACTATTGAAATGGATTACTTATAATTGCGGGGAAACTCCCCAGCGAAATATTTAAAATATAAATATGAATTTTAATATAAACACTAAACAGATTTTACTAATTCTGTAGGATATAAGGAAGATAAAAAAAGTAATTAAAAAAAATTAATGGAATAAATTCATTTACAGTCGAAACCATTCATCAAAGGATCATAATTTTCAGAAATTAATGTACAGTGAGCAAAAAAAAAAAAAATTACCCTGTATAAGTTTTACGCAGAGTAAAATTAGCATAAGAGGTTCAAACATTGGATCGCTCTCCTGATCAAACTATATTGGAACCATATTTCCGAGATTGTGGCTACTCCTTTATTTTGAGGGTCAGAAATCCGAATCAGTTAAAAAAATAATACGTTTATTCAGAGAAAGTGCGATTTTGTGTCGGATTTCGTAATTTAAAATATCGTCAGCACTAAATAATTAGCATATTGAGTCCTAGAACGCGAAGATCCGATCATTAGGGGGATTAAAAATTATTGAGGGTAGCCCGTTTTTTTTTTTTTTTTNTTTTTTTTTTTTTTTTTTTTTTTTTTTTTTTTTTTTTTTTTGCGCACTGTACATTAACTTTTTGTTTCAGAGATAAAAAAAATCAGATTTAGATGGGAAATAATCGTTCTACTGACCTAACTATTGGGCCCATATCGATCGCCAAAAATTGTGGCTACCCCATATATTTTGGGGTTTAGAAATCTGAATCCGTCGACAAAAAAGACGTTTTTGTGTCTGATTTCTAACTTAAAATATCGTCTTTATCAATAATTAACATAGTATTTGAAGTCATCTTATCGAATCCTTAAGAATGTAAAAATCCTATCATTAGATCAAAGGTTATTCAGGGTAAACCTTTTTTTTCATTTACAGAACGGTACTTGCTTCTAGATTAGCGACAAACTATGCACAAGCGGAATACCTTGCGACCCACTGGGTAAATTTTGATAACCCAGAAATCAATTGAAATTATGATGACCGCTAGGCATTTTTGCAAATGAAAAGAAGTGGTTGCTTTTGATTTGGTGAAACAGCCGTCGGTTGTACTTTTCGAGGTGAACCACGCAAATGAAAAGCAATATCCATCATTCCTAAATCAAAATAATCCATTTTTAACTTGATGATGCAAGGTTATTAAAAAAGCTTCGACTTTTTCATTCAGTTTATCCACTTAGCCATCGCCTGCTGCCATTTTCCATGCCTAAATTATAAACATCTAACGCGTTTGTATTATGAAATGTTGCAAAATGAAATGAAATTCTATTGTTACGCAACATGTGCGTAAATAAAACAAAAGCCAAACATATTGCATCAGAGATCTGGTGACGATGTCTCATTAATTAACCTTGGGATACTAGCCAGTTACGCTGAGTGACTATTATTAAACGAAAATAGTAAATTTAATATAGTCTTTATTTTTCTGTTATTTACTAACAGTTATTACTGAAATCCTATGTTTTTGATATTATATTGATATATGCAATCTAAAACAGAAGTTATGTGGCCTACCAGTAAAAATTTCGGTGGGAAAAAAATGTTGTCGACTACTGGATATAGATTGTAAGTTAATCGGTTGGAAAATAGTTTATTAAGCCCATTGTTAGCAGAATCAGGAGTTGTCAAGTTTCACTGGATTTCTATTAGCTATTTTAAAATTTAAATATAGAATAAAATAAACTTATTTTGTAGGTAGAAACTGAAACAGTAAAAGAGTTGTTCCAATATAGCCCTACCGTCTAATTTTTTTTAAATTCCTAAATACAGAACTTAGTAATATTTTGGTAATTTTTTTTAAAAAAATAAAGCAATTAACTATCAGAATGCACTAAGTGTAACACAACACACATGGAGAATTGTAATCAGTGACTTTTTAAAATTAAGTATCAACAGATTCAATTTTTAAAACAATTTGTTTACCTTATTCAGGGTGCGTAGCCAAATCTTTGAATCAAAAATAAGCACTTTTTAAAAACTTTTCAAGCACTATTATCACTAAGTTACAAAAGTTAAATTAAAAATAATGTAACTCTAGTGAAAAATATCAGAAAGTCTTTTTTTGAAATGATAATAATATTTGTTTTCTTGGAAAGGTGTGTCGTTTATGAAAGAGCAAAATCATTGATCTGTCTGGGTTTTTTTAAGAGGTACCTATCTTGTGAAAATTTAGACATAATTAGTGCAAATAAAAAATTATATTTAAAAAATCAACACAAAAATATGGTAAAGGAAGAAAATATTTTCAAAAATTGTCACTACAAATAAATATCATTTATGACTTATTTCTATATATTTTTCCCTATATATTNTAGTATTGTTTTTCCACACAAGTACGCCAGCTGAAAAAAGCACCTTTAAAAGCTTTTAAAAACGAAATACCCCAAAAAGCACCTTTAAGCACTTTTTACAAACGCTACGCACCCTGTTATTATGTATTATTGCTCTGTTTTTTGTATGCAAGCATTATAATTCAATAGAACATAGTGAAGTAAAGCCTAAAAGTTACTATACCTTACATATATGATATGAAGTTAAATTTGTAAAACATCAAAATTTTTTAAATTTGATTTAAAAAAAGTGGAAAATGTTAAATTTACAGGTAATGATTTAATAACTATTTTAGAATATATTCAAAAGGGGATGCATCAATGAAAAAAATATTAGCATTATTTTCCTTATTTCTGTACTGCATCACGAAAAAGAAAAAAAAAAAGAATTTTTTTTAATCCCTTTTATTACACACTGACAGATATTTCAAATTTCTGACCAAAAAAATAAATATATAAAAAATATTTTTTTCATTGCGGAAACTTAATATACGTTCTATTCTCTTCGTTGCATGGTATGAGACAGCAACCATACAGGCACAAAAACGCCGAACATATGAGATGTGACGCCGCCAGAGATGAGGTTAAATTATAATTTATAAAATATCAAGAAGCATAACCACCTTATAATTATTCCACAAAATTTATTGACACATGAGCAATATTTATGTACAAATTTATTCACTAAAATATGAAATTGTGTTGCAGTATGAGAATTTCAGTCTTAATGAAAGAAGCTTTTTTAAATCCTCACTCTTCTGGATTGAGGTGGTCTATCACGATAGGGAGGTGGTGATATGGCTATGTCTAAGTAGTCACCAATCTGAAATCGGCAAGCAGACAGAGATTTACCATCGTCAGCAGATTTCTCACCTGAACATGTTCTTCCAATTTCTCTCATTCTGTAATTGGGTCCTCTGGGTTCAGGGAAAACCAGGGCAAAGTCAAAATGAGTTCCTTTTCGTCTCGCATCAGGGTTCACTTCTTTCACTAGGCTTGTCAATTCTTTCAAAGTTGCATCGAGCCTAAAGAATCACATAGATTAGACCTAATGTTTTAGAATGAATGAAATGGAATTGTAGGATTCTTACTCAATGGACAACTAGTCAACTTTTCATTTTATGAGATAGCTTAGTTAACTGATATTAAAGCCCAAAACATAAATATTTGCCTCATCTTTGATCTGAATATAAACAAAAACAGGTTCTAAAGCATGCTAAGAGGTTTCTTTCATCAAATATGCACAAACAAGAGAGCTCGTGAAGTAACAGAACTGCTTGAACCTCTTTTCGAGCTCTACAGCTCACCTCAATATGAGACAAATATTCACAACGAAAACAAAACTGTTGAGAGGCTCTGCCCCATTGCATTTGTGTATTTTGGATATGAAATAATAAAAAAAAGTAAGATTTCATTAAGAGAAGGTTTAACAAGTAGATCTCATAATATGAAAATACATAAATAATAGATAAAAGCAATAGTTTGTATAAATGCTAGAAAAAATTAAAAAATTTAACATGACAGATTTTTTATAAAGTCACAACAATCAGTAATATATTCATCAATTATATATCTTATTGTTGAATCTTAAAACTAGTAAAAAAAAAAAAAAATCTTTTATACAGAAAGTTCCATTTTTAAAAACACAGGTAATTATGAATTGTAAACATGGTATTAATAAAATTTAATAAAAAATTTGTAACAAAGAACATTTTTTCAAATTATTATACTTATTTAGATGTAAAAAAAAAGCAAAGCATTATCACAGCAACACACAGCGAGCTCATGGAGGTTAAAGCTCCACAATTTCATGACCAAATAGCACGATTGTTGCAATGTGGTCAGCATTGCATAGAGGTCCCCTTGACTTCCCAGACAAGCTGATACTCATAAATTTGCACTAAAAAAATAGATGATAGACTTCTTTCAATATTTCGTTTAATCTTATTGGCCCTGAATTAATATTCTAAAAATTTAGATCAACCAAAAATATTACTCATTTAACTCATACAAATTTCACAAAGTATAATAATAGAGAGAAAAAACGAAGACATAATGACAATGAATACCCAATAAACTATTTGCATATTTGGACTCACACAAAATATCTAATTGAAACAGAAAACTTTTTAAAATTCATATTCAAAAATTATTTGGGCAAATCATCTAAAAAATATAACAAAAGTTTAAACATTTGCTGCATTCTAGGCAGAAAACCTTCTGCTTGATATGATTAGTATTTTAAAATTAATTTAACTTTAATAAAAATTTTGTTCTGTCCTTGAGCCAGTCTTGTACAAGTATTTATTTTACAAGGTATACTACCAAGTATTTATTTTCTACCATTCACTGTTTGCATTGTGTCAAAATATTATCAGGGGGACGGGGACCAACTGTAATATAGAAAATATGGTCTGTATAGTAGATCCAAAAAGAGAATAGGTATATTTTATGCTACACCAAGTAAGATTAAAACAAAATGTGAATATATAAAGCACAAATAAAAGAACAGAAATGGACAAACTATAGTTTCGATTCTATAACCAAGAACCTTCCTTAGTGTATAAACAGTAAATGATAGGAGAAATGCAACGAGATAAACAAAGAAATATGCTAAGATGTTTAACCAGAAGGTAAAGAGGAATCAGTCGAAACAAGATATTAAAAGAAGGAACGTAAGAAACAGGTGTGCAGGAGTTTCGCGGGAGTCTCAGAATGTAGAAATTAAATTAGAAAGGATTTCCAAACACAGGGAAAGGATGGAATACTACAAATAGTTCAATTATTAAAATTTTTCAAAATATGGAATGATTACAAGAAATCAAGATCAGTTGATACAGAGCAGCGTTGAATGATTTTAGCAGAAAACTCAAAATCAAGACTAGAATTCAAATTATAAAGGGCATTGGCAGATCTTATAATATCCTGATTTTGTAAACATCTTTCATTTCCTTCAAGTTGAAATTTAAGAGGCTCGTTAAGAGGTGGCTCAGGAGAAAGAGCGCTCATCTCCCAATGAGGTCACCGAGGTTTGAAACCCAGGTCAACATGAATTCTGTACCTGGCTCAATTCAATTCAATTTCAATATTGATTTTTAATGTTACATAATAATTGAATGTTACAATTTAGGCAGATTTTTTTAGATTAAGTAAAAATAAAGTTCACTAATAATTGTCTGATCTCAAAATATAATTTTTTCATTGATTCTCAATATTTGTTGTTGTTATTAATTATATTTAGAGGAGCAGAATAAGTCTGACAAAAAATTGTGCAGCTTTGCAAAACTTTTTCTTGTTAAAAAAGATTTGTCAATTTGTGCATTTATTAGTTTAAATTCCCTAAGTGGAACCTTAAATTTAATTAATAAATTATTACTATTCAATATATTTTGATTTTTATCATCAGGGGTCTGTCCAGGCCAAATTTACTACCATTTAGCAGTACCTTCACAAATTCAACTTAAGGAAATTTCATAAAATACTAAAATTTTATTTTTGTATCCTGTAAGAAATGATAAAGAGAAATTAGAATTTTCTGCCCTCCTGCTTATATGTACATGAATATTTCCAATATTAGTGAACTAATGTTAATAATTAGTTTACTGATTAGTGAATTAATTATAATTTATAAAAAACATAAATATTTGTTTAAATGAGTTAATAATTTATCAATTAATTAATTCCCGGATATAATTAAATTACTATTATTTTATAATTAATACTTAATACAGTTATGAGAATAACTTTCCTAGTTACATGTTAAGTTATTATGTTATACAGTCAAACGAACCTTCAAGGGACTGAAATTTTGGTTCACTATATCCGTTATGCAGGCAATTTATCAAATGGTTCTCAAACTACTCCCTTTTATTACATATTATTCAAATAAATGACTGAAAAATATTATGTAGTAGCAAAAAAATGTGAAATTTTTCATTACTTTTCGTCTTGCATACAAAAAAAAATTAAAAATCTATAGCTGATGAGCAATCCTCAACATCAGATATAGAAACACATCCCAGCTCTCAGATAATTTTTCATGAATTTCAGTTATTCCATTTTTTAAACCTGTCTAACCTGCCATTCGAGCACACAAAAGTAGCCTCATAAAATCGCTTAGCAAATTCATCGCCATTTGTCCAGATACTGGAAGATTGCGGCTTCTTCGATTGGTGAACCACTTCAGTAATGCTTTTTCAACATCCTTGTGATCTGCTTTTCTCAAATTTTTTCTGCCATCTAAATTTTTTTCATGAGCAGAAATTATTAATTGACTATTTTTCCACAAGTTACAAACTGCAGATTTGGATAGTTTATATTCCCTGCAAATATCAGCTTGATTGCATCCATTTTCAATATTTCTGATTATGCCCATTTTATCATCAATGGAGAATGTTTTACGTTTACTGCTTGCCATAGTTAAATTTGAGTCACTTGTTTGCAGGATTTTTTTAACTGAACTAAGAGCAAAAAGTAGTAGAAATGAGGGCTTTACCAACATATTAGTGTCCAACCCTTTGACCAATAATAATTACTCATTCCCTCTGACAGAAAATGCATATTGATCCCACTGACACCTTACAGATGCATAATTTGCCTGGGTTGGAAACATCTGCTTGGTTTGTTTAGGGATGGGAAAGTGAGATAAAAGAAGCAAACAAGAAAAAATGCTTATACCTACATTCCCCTCTATAGATGGTTTTAAAAATCGGTATATGTATTTATTTTGAAGTAGAAATTTCAAAATTATTTTTAAAAAATCAGTCGAAAACAGAAAAAAGTTGAGGGGTCTGTCCAGACCGAATTTACTACCGTTTAGCGGTACCTTTACAAATTCAACTTTAGGAAAAACAGTAGTTTCACAAATTTAATTTTAGGAAAAACGGTAGTTTCACAAAATACTTTCTCTTAAAATTTTATTTTTGTATTCCTTAAGAAATGATAAATCCATATTCTTGCCATATTTTTGTGTTGGATTTTTAAATATAATTTTTAATTTTTCACAAATTATGTCTAAATTTTCACAAAATAGGTACTCTTAGAAAAACCTAGACAGACCACTGAGTTCACAATATGCAACTTCCTCATTTTTTTGGTTCACTATATCCACAAAAAATAACATTATATATATAGCAAGGCACGGGACTTCACTATATCGGGCTTAGACCCTCATAACTTTAGTATGTCTACTTTCTAGACTATACAGCTTAGCATCAATCAAAAGAATAGTTTTAAATTCCGGTCTTATTCATTGAAAACTGAAAAATAAACTTAAAAGAGTACAGAGGGCTTTAACACTGTTCAGAGTGGATACGTTTCAAATTTACACATTTCTATTTATTATTTAATATTTTCTACACAAACATTTAGGTTTTTGACAGTAATTGTCAAAAATAGAGTTTAGTATCAAAATAATTCAAGAATGAAATTGATTAATCACTTGTAATCTTATATGTATGTTTTAGTGTATTTAGAAATACTTATTTATAATAGCTAATAATTTTCCTTACACAAAAATTTTGGGTTTTTAACACTGGTCAAAAACTATATCAAAAAGGGTTTTTGCCATGACCATGGTTTAAACTGGATAAAACCATCAACTGACAAAAACTCGCCAACAATTCGATCAGAAGGTCAAAATTTATTCAACCATTTCAATTTGCCCTTTTTTTATTAATTGCATTGCACATGAATAAAACATTGTAAATAATGGGCATATTAAAATCAAACAATATATGTGAGCAAAGCCCAATCAAATATAGACAGGGTACATAGTCGGATTTTTCAACAAAAAATAAGCACCTTTTAAGTATTTATTAAACACTCAAAAAATATTTTTAATCACTTAAAAAAAAAATCATTATTAGGATCTGTGCAGCAATAAAAATTACTTTTTTTATTGTTTAAAGTTCTTAATTTATAAACATAAAATTAGAGAAATTCAAAAACATTTTCAAAAACTTCACATAATCATGATAAAATAACTAGTTTCTGATAGATATTTCAAAGAAAATTGTGAAAATAATGCATTTTTTGTAATTTAGAACGACAATCAGTACAATGAAGAAAAAATCTCTTTTTAAAAGATAGAAAAATATGCACTTTTAAAAAACTCTACGCACTCTGATAGATATAGATTTATTTAAATATTAAGAGATGATCATGATAGAATACAATACATGATTTGAAAAAGATGAAGCAATAAGAAATGTTTCAAGACTTTGAATCCTTAAAAAGAATAAAAAAGATTACCATGTATAAATTTGAAGCTCATTAGGTGGTACATTTCCTCTTTGAAAATCACTTAGAGAGTGATGTCTTCCTTTGCTTAAAAAAACTCTCAGCAATAAAGGGCAAGTCTAAAATATAAAAAATAAGTTAAAAAAGTATTCTCAAAATTTCATTTATTTACATAAAAATGAAATGATTAATAAAAATAAAATGTAAAAAAAAAAAAAAAATTTAATTAAGATTTAAAAATATTTAAATAATTAATTAAATTTTAATATTTAAATAATTAATTAAATTTTAATATTTAAATAATATTCAACAAATATTTAAGATTAATAAAACCAATTAACAGTGCATACCTACCTTAACTAAACTAACAATTGAAATCAACTTAATTGTCTAAAAACAATTTAGATAACATTATATTAAAAATAACAAAAATAGAAATATTATTTGAAAACAGCTCAGGAAAAACATGTGGAATCACAGTGGAGGAATGAAATACAACTAAGTGATTTTTTTTAATAAACTGTTAACAAATAGTTGTTACTTAACTCTGATCATATGCAAGTCGTCATAATAACTTCTTATTAGTAAAAATATTGAAATTTAATAAATTATAACTAAAAGGCTAAAAAAAGATCAGAAAATGACATGGATTTAAGATGGAATTGTCGCGGATCTGGCATGTCAAAAAGTGATAACTAAAATTCGAAATTCGTTTTATCATGAGATTATTATATTATACACATCAAAATCAACAACAAATAAAATTAGTCAAATTCAAAATTTCAGGATGCACAAATTGCGATTATTCAATACCATTTTTTAAAATTAATATTAAAAATGTGACATTAACAGTAAAATTATAAACATGTTTAAGAGCTGTTTACTTAAAAAGTGGAAAAATCAATACATTGTCTTATTTATTTACTGAATACAAATAAAATAATAAATAAATATTATATAAATTTTATTTTCTTATTCTGAACAGAACAAAAATTACTTCTGGGTTGAGAATGGCACTTGAAAAATTTTTTTTACTTTAAAACTTACTTAATTTTGCAGGATATTAGAGAAATTTAGGAAGGAACCAATTTTATTACCATTAAAAGAAAATTGATGACATATTTTAAATTAGAACTATAATAAATTAATATAAAATTGCATGGTTTAGATCTATGCAATAGCTAACTACGCAAGGACATCGAATAATGATTCGAATCAGTTCTAAGAGCACTTAATTGCTAACATAAAAAATTATTAAACAAAATTCAAATGTTTACAACGACTACAGTTTCTGTAGTAAAAGAATTACTATCTAATAAAAAACAATTAGCTTTTAATATAAAAGTATTACTTTTTCTCGATCAACTGATAGTTCAGGTTTTTCTTCAACAACAGATTCCATACCAAAAATTATTGCAAAACTACAAATATTAATAATTACTACAAACAATTAACATTAAAAAAATTATTCAAATTTTAAAATATTAAAGTTTGGAATCTAGAACTGTAGTAAGAAAATCGCTTGACCGCCACTGAGACATCAACAAAACAAAACTTTAAAAGGGTTGAGTTGTTTTGGCTGAAACTTAGTTTACTTAACAGTTAAGATTGAGTTTTTGAAAAATAAAATTTTGTTTGAAATTCGTAACTCTTTTTTTAAAAGTACATAATAAATAGGATCATGTAAAAAATAAATTTCATTAAATATTATCGATTCGTGCCTCATTTTAATTTTTGATCATGTTTAATTATTTCAATTTTTTTAAGATGGCATCTTCAATAAATATTTACTGCTACAGTTTGGTTTCGGTATGTCTTGTGATTGTTCTCAAGTAATTTACAATAAATTCAAATAACGTGTAATCTTATTGCATGAAGTTCTACGATTCTTCACCATCTTACAGTGATTAAGACATTAAGAGAAAATCCTGTTGATATTACCAACAACTACTTATTAAAAATGTTTAAGGTTGACGATTGCTTCAAATCTTGTGGTATATTTAATGAAATTCTAGTAAAGCGCTTTGAAGAAAACTTTAATCCAAAAAACAATTCTCGCCTTTGGATCACCCCAGGTCATATAGTATTTACCACAGAAGATACTAAAGTTCACACGTGTGATGCTAGACCATATGATTTTAGTACTTCACCTAGTGAAGCAGAAACTGATGAACTTCTTGTCACAACATCTCCAGTGTTGGATTTATTTTTCGATACTGAAGGCAAGTCCACTCGTATGTTTTTAATTCTACAAAATGGTGATGTGCAAATTTTTGAATACAGAATTTTACTGTTCGAATGGGCCAGAATTGGTTATTTTAATGTAAATATAACATCCCCTAACAGTAATAACAATCACCATAATCTTGTTACTCATGTCTTGATATCTTACAATCAGAACTTTATATATTGGACTGAGAAAACAGGTCCATCTGATACATGTTTTAGCTTTCATAAAAGGGAGATACCTCTGAATGGGGTGCGAGAGATTACTCAAAGTGCTATTGGTGTTCCTCAAAAATTATTCAAAAACTGTCCAGAGTTTGACGTAGTAGAAATTAGAGATAATCTGTGTCTTGTGCCACGTCTGCCAAATTCTATCAATATCTATATTATCATCTCAGCTCGTTCTCATGTTTGGCTTTTTCACATGGATGGAAAACTATTGTGGCGAGGTATCATAACTGACAGCCCTATGGATTTTATTTCTTTATGCACTAAAGCTGTTGGTTTATGGAAGCCTACTGGAGTAGTTAAAGTTTGTAAACTTCTAGATCCAGTCAAGAATTTTGCATATATGCTACATAATGAGTCTTTAATTTCTATTGCACCGAATGGTGAGATACGCCATAATGTTTCTTTGAATATATCACCGAATAATATTGAAAAAGCATTTATTATGCAAAATGCTCTTTGCATATTTACTGAAGAATGCAAGCAATTAAAAATTTATAACTGCACTAAAGGTGAATTTTTACAAGACTTTGAATTAAATGAGTTTTCTCCTGTTACTGGTATTTGGTATCATTCATCTAGTATACCAAGTTTAGGATTCTACTGTGACAGTACAATTTATAAACTTAACTACAAGTCACTTAACTCCCTTTTAATTTCAGATGTGCCATGCTTGTGGCATATATTAAATTTATTAAAAAATGAACATTTTCATGTATTTTCTATAATACGAGATATAGTGTACCATAGTTTTGAAAGTAGTGATATTCCACCATTGAAGAATGTACCACGTGTACTTCAGAGCGAAGCTTTGATATTGGCTCTTTTGCAGTCTTGTCGAGATAAAGGTTTTAAATCCGACAACTTTCCGATTAAAAATGTTAACGAGTTCCTAGTGAGTAATAGTGCTGTTCTACCTGAAACAAAACTGCGAGAACTTCTTGATCCATTAGTGGAGTGTTTTAAAAAGCTTGAAAAATGTAGAATTGAGCAGTATCAGTTACATGTCCAATGATGATGCTCCATCAGTTCCCCAAATTTGTATTAAAAATATATGTTGAAATTTATTGTTCATCTTGCATTTTTTTCGTTATATATTATTAGATAATATTTTTGTATGAAGAATATTTTCTTACCCAAATATAAGAAAACATTATACAGTCAAACCCCGCTATAGTGAACCTTCAAGGGACCACAATTTCGGTTCACTATAACCAGGAGTTCACTATATCCGTTACACAAGCAATTTAACTAATAGTTCCCAAACTCCTCCCTTTTATTACACGTTATTCAAATAAATGACTGAAAAATATTATGCAGTAGCAAAAAATTCATTATTTTTCATTACTCTTCGTCTTGCGTACAATAAAAAAAATAAATAATAAATTAGTAATCTTTAGCTGATGAGCAATCCTCAACATCAGATATAGAAACACTTCCCGACTATCAGATAATTTTTCTTGAATTTCTGTTATTCCGCCTTTTAAACCTGTCTAAACTGCCATTCGAGCACATGAAAGTAGTCTCTTAAAATCGCTTAGCAAATTTTTCGACATTTGTCCAGATACTTCTTTGATTGGTGAATCACTTCAGTAGGTAATGTTCTTCAACATCCTTGTGATCAGCTTTTTTCTGCCAACTGAATTTTTTTCATGAGCAGAAATTATTAATTGTCTGTTTTTCCATATGTTACAAATTGCAGATTTGGATAGTTTATACTCCCTGCAAATATCAGTTTGATTGAATCCATTTTCAATTTTTCTGATTATGCCCATTTTATCATCAATGGAGAACGTTTTACGTTTACTGCTCGCCATATTTAAATTTGAGACACTTGTTTGCAGGATTTTTTTAACTGAACTTAGAGCAAAAAGGAGTTGAAATGAGGGGCTTATCAACACATATTAGTGTCTAACCCTTTGACCAATAATGAATAATTTACTCATTCCCTCTGACAGAAAATGCATATTGATCCCACTGACACCTTACAGGTGCATAATCTGCCTGGGTTTGAAACATCTGCTTGGTTTGTTTAGGGATGGGAAAGTGAGATAAAAGAAGCAAAAAGAAAAAATGCTTATCACTACATTCCAGGGTTGGAGTTTTTGCCGGCAAAAAGGGGTTTTTGCCAGGACAGTGGCAAAAACCTGGTAAAAACCGGCAAAAACTGGTAAAAACCGGCAAAAACCAAATTATCTAAATTGCTGATTAAATATTATTACAAAATACTTGAAACAAATTTAAATCAATCATAAGGAGGTAATTGTTCTCNCTGCGTGTAAAAGGGGAGAAAATAGCAAAAATAAGTAAAAATGAGAAAGGATTGGTAGCTATGTAGTTTGAATTTTCTGAAAAAACGGAATATCTATAAAAAAAAGTGAAATTTTTAGAAAATCTGAATTTTTGATAACAAAAAAGCTGAAATTCAAGAGATAAAAGTGAAAAAATCTCATCCCTGCATCAATGGAGAACGTTTTACGTTTACTGCTCGCCATATTTAAATTTGAGACACTTGTTTGCAGGATTTTTTTAACTGAACTTAGAGCAAAAAGGAGTTGAAATGAGGGCCTTATCAACACATATTAGTGTCTAATCCTTTGACCAATAATGAATAATTTACTCATTCCCTCTGACAGAAAATGCATATTGATCCCACTGACACCTTACAGATGCATCGTCTGCCTGGGTTGGAAACATCTGCTTGGTTTGTTTAGGGGTGGGAAAGTGAGATAAAAGAAGCAAACAAGAAAAAATGCTTATCACTACATTCCCCTCTATAGATGGTTTTGAAAATCGGTATATGTATTTATTTTGAAGTAGAAATTTCAAAATTATTAAAAAATTTTTTTTTTTAAAAATCAGTCGAAGACAGAAAAAAGCTCATTACATCCAACTTCCTCACTTTTGTGGTTCACTATATTCACAAAAAATAACATTATCCATGTATAGCAAGGCACGGGACCGAACATTTCGTTCACTATATCCGGGAGTTCACTATAAACCGTGTTAACTATAGCGGGGTTTGAATGTATTAAGCTTCCTATTCTTTCTATTAATCATAATAGAAAATACTATCAACCTTCTGCTTCTAAATAAGAAATAATTCTTATTTCAAGACAGCTTCTTAAAAAGAGCCATAGTCAGAAGGTTAAATTTTCATCTTCAAGAAATGATTCTATAAAGGTGGCTATATTTGTAGCGCCCTTTTAATCCTTTGCGGTCGTATGTCTACTCTCAGCCACCAACGCTTTTTTACTGTTCCAATCATATATCTGCTCTCAGCCACCGCCTTTTTTCTGTTCCAGTCGTATGTCTGCTTTCAGTCACCACAGCAAAAAACCATACTGATCTTTTACTAAGTCGGCAAGCTTCAGAGATATGTAGAATTTTAAATAATATTTTATAAATTGTGTTTAAGTAAATTAATTCCAACCAGCATGAACTTAATACGACCACAAAGAGTTAAAAATGAAAAATTTGGATTAATTTTTTAAACTCTTTCTATTTCGTTTCTGAATAAGAAAATGATATTCCACACAACTTTTTAGTTTGTAGGTTTTTGTTTATAAATACTTCTTATCAAAATTAGATAACTAATTTAACCATATTTGCTCAAAATTCAACATACAGAACTTAAAGTTGAAACTTCTCTTCAATGTAAAAATTAAATTTTTTTCTAAAGCTCTAAATGATATGAACTAGTGTTGGTTTAGTTATTTTAATTTATGTGTATTGTCATATAATGGAAACTTTGTTAAATTGAACTTCCAACCTAGGTGTAGAGATATTTTTCTTTTTTTGAAAAATTTTATTCATTCAGCTTTTTGAGAGGGCAACATAATAATTAAAGATTTTTATAGTTATAGTATTCAATTACTTAGTAAGATTACAATTAGGTTGTGATAAAAAATGTAAAAGTGAGCTGTTGTTTATGTAATACAAAAAAAAAATATATGTAGTTAAAATATTTATAACTGCTGAATTCAATTAGAGCAAAATAATACATAAGGTAAAATTTTAAAGAATTCTATGAATATGATTCAAATATTATATCTTATTACTCAGATAAATATAAAAAAATAAATAAAATATTACTTTAAATGTTTCTGATTTCAATCTCAAATTATAATCAATTATAATAACAATATGTCTTTATAATGTAGAATTGCTAATTATATTAGAATTGGAAATGTATCGATGAGTAAAATATGTGTTTATAATCTATAAATGTATTTTTCTGTATACAGTTGACATAAAAAGGTATAAATCTTTATGTTTTAATTCCTTATTTAATAATAATTTTAACTTAAGATTGATATTCTATGAGCAAACTGAAGATGGAAACTACATTTTTAATTCTACATAATTTATTTGTTTTGATGGATTACTTATAACTTTATTTCATATGGGTGGGGGAAATTTATTATTTTAGAATTATAATTTTAACTACATAAAGGAATCATTTAGTACATATTTTTGAAAATTAAGACTTTTACTGTAAGAAAGCACTACTACAGGAATTTCAATTAATAAAAATGTTTTGCTATTATAGAAAACAGATTTGCAATTATTATTTTATTAGTATAATAACACACACTTCCTGTTGTTCTAAGCTTTTCAAACTATTCAGGAATTTTCATTACCATTTCTAAAAAAATATTTTTTTTCATTTTAACTATTAAGATTCAAGAGATATTATACTTGTTTCACTGTTTCTCATCATTTTTAGAATTTTGCTTTGTTTGAATTTGTAATACAATAAATTATGTGTTAAATAATGTATAAAACTTAAACTGGAATTAATAACGGTGGCACAGACTAAAAAAAATATGATTAATAAAATTTTTTATATAATTAACTTATTAGAATCATGTAGCACCTACATTAGAATATAACTATTTATGAAGATAGAGTATGACTTTATTATGCAACATTAAAAGAAATCCCATCATGTATAGAAATCATAATAGAACTATAGTACCTAGTTATGTTAAAAAATAACTAAAAATACTTATTAATTGAAATTAATGTCTCTACTGAATAATCCCCCCCCAAAAGTGATTGCTTTTTATATTAATTTATATGATGTTGCTTTGTATACTGTTAATATTTGTATACTTTTTTTCTCTCCATAAATTATACTTTGAACTTTCTTTTCAGTTTATAATTCTATATTCCAAGAATAAAATCTTAAAAAAAGTACAATCTGACATATTAATAAGTGTTTATTTGCTTGTGTTTTAGGTTAATTATAGATTAATGAATAATGAAGATTAACGAATAATTTGGTCAAACTAAAATGCAAAGAAAAAGGAAGCAAATTTTGTAAAACAAATAAATTATTTAATACAAATATAATTTTATATTTACAAAACCTATACATTAAGTAGGACTAATTAGCTATTAAGGAAATGAAGTGCTAATTGTTCATCATCCTCCAGAGTGCGATTCTGCTTTTCTCTTTTCACTTTGGCTACACTGCTGTTCAACTTTTGCTTCTTGCTTTTAGCTTGGGAAATTAATTTTTTTCTTTTGCCGCTAAAAGAGAAATTAAGGATGATTAATTAACAGCACCAGAAGATTAACAATAAAAATAAATGCTTAAGATGAGATAAGTGAATGTCGTTATATAGTTTAAGAATGTTATGTTCAATTGCAATGAAAACAAAATGTTAATTTCTATACGCCTTCAAACAATATCAAAATAATGAATGAATTCTACATTAAACTCCTGACTATCTGTAGACAGGTTATCTCCATTCTTCAGACAGAACAATATTGTATGAAAGAATTGTTCTAGTAAATGCAAATTTTAAATACAGTAGAACCTCGATTAACCGAGGTTTCTGTTAACCAAGGCAATAACGAAGTTCAATAACGATTGTTCTGAAACGATGCTACATCAATGGATGTCCTGTTGCTCAAAAATTGGCGTGATAGGGTAGCCATGATAGAAATTCTGGACTTTTGCAACGAAAGGTAACAAACTTTTTTAAAAGAATGTAAATTTAACAAATTAATGTAGATTAAATTTTAATAAAAACAATATTTTCTTCAGATTTGTGTTATTTTTGAAAATGCGTCTTTTGATATTTAACTAAAATTCCATTGATATTTAACTAAAATTCCATTTCACTTTTTAAAATTTACTACTAGAGTTGATTTCCTTTTTAAATCTTTTCAGCTGTGAAACATAAGTTATACATGTTTATTTTTATCATTTAAAAAACGTTCTACTGTTTTTTACTTTAAAAGTAGTTAAATTCGCAAGCACGGAAGGTTTTTACACATGGTTTCTATTAACCGAGATTTCCTATATCCGAGGTACTAGCGGTCCCAATTAGCTCGGATAATCGAGGTCTTACTGTATTCTTAGTATTTTGCTCATTGAAGATCTTGTCTTCATAAAATTTTGCCCCATGATATCCTACAATGCCCAAAATACCATACCATTATATTTTGCTCACATCATAAACTACTTAACTTCTTTAGAAGGGAAATATTAAATATTACTTCAAATTATAAATTTAGTTAAAACCTGTTAACTACATGATAACTGAACCAACACTTTAACTGTACACTTGTGATCAAAAGTAAAACACCACTGGCATAAACTATTTCAGTCAAACACAATTTAGATAAATTTGCTAGGGTAAAATTTTTGTAACTGAATTATTAAGTTGAAATTTTTTAAAACCTAGTTTTATAACTGAAATCATTATGAAAAAGATTGTATGTGTAACATATACATAAGAATAACAGTAGAGTAAGGAAAAAGATTTTTTTTCTGTGTAATTATTGCACACATGTATTTTTTCTTTAAATTAAAACTTATTGCTCGGTTATGCTGATAACAAATATGAAGTATCTAAATTTTCAAAACTACCAAAAATTATACCTATATATTTGAAAGGAAATACACAACACATATTTAAAATCTAATTATTTGTAAAATAATTGTACATTCAGTACCACTACTTTATATACACTGAAAGTTAAACTGCTTTATATATGTGTATTCTTAATATTAAGTACAAAAGGGAATTCTCAACTAGTAAAACAATTTTGTATGAGGATTTAAATTATATTTTTCATATAACAGGGTTGCCTCTCCTAAAACAAAACCAATTTCTCGGAGCTTTCCAGAGTCAAATTTAAAGAATTTTAGTTTTTAATGATTCATATTAGCGAATTTCTAATTTTAAAATTTTATTCACATATATATTAATATGACTTAATGATAGAAGCCAAAAACTATTTTAGAAATATTTTAATCTCAATTTATTATCTTTTTTTGTGCTAAAAATTTTTATGTGTATATTAAATTATATTAAAACTATAATGCTGATATATTCATTATTGCAGGTTTAAGATGATTTAAAAAATGTTAACAATTATCTTACTGTTTTAAAAATTTATAAAAAAATATGCTTAATTAATAGGAATTGGAAATAACAAAACTATTTATTAAAATATCATTGATATCAAGAAAAATAAATGATAATAGTAACCAGTCATTAAGATATGATTGGTTATCTAAAGCAGTTTTAATGCCTGATAATGAACATAAACATACTAGAGTTAAAATTGTGAGTAATTATTTTATTAATTGATAATACTTTGAGAATTTCCAGAGTTAATTATGACTTTTTCTGAGAATTCCAGGTTTCCCCCGTTTCCATTGGTCACCCTGATTATATTATTTATAATTAAATATCAATTTATAAATAAACAGAAACTTTAATCTTAATTATCTCATTTACTGATAATTGGCTGCTGATGTATGTAACTTTTCTAGTATACCAGACTAAAACTGAACTTTAAAAAAAGCTAATAGATAAAAAGAAAGCACACCCTACCTGAAAGTTTCAATTTTGTCTACTAATTCCTCCTCAGAGCTTTCAGCTTCACTGTTTATGTTCATTTCAGCTCCAGAACCAGCAAATCTGTCAGATTCCTCAGTATTGTCTCCACTAGAATCATTAGAACTTATATGATTTTTTAATCGTTCATTATTAACGGAACTCTCTTCTTCACTCTCAGACGAGTACATGTTATTTGGATCAATCATAGAATCTTCATTATCCTTGTCAGAATCATCCTATTAATACAAAGTGAATCAAACAAATGATTATTAAATTTAGTAGCATTAATACTTATTAAATTTAAATACTACAAGAAAATCAAACAGATTCCAAAGACTAAGTTATTATTTTTTTTATTGCTTCTAGATATACTCAACTAAATTTAACTCAGTGGCGGCACAGCTCATAAAGGGCCAAGGCCTACTGTGCCCATCTCAGTTTTCTTGACCTTGGGCTCTGGGGGGCAGGGGTAGGGGCAGATGTTCCGGTCAGTTGAACGCAGAACCCCCAGTTTTTAGTTAGCAAGCATGCTTGGTTCTCATTTAATCGACCCACTGAAGGGATGAAAAGATGAGTCAACCTTGCCCGGCCCGAGGATTGAACCAGGGACCTGCGGCACGACAGCGCAAAGCGCTACCGCTCAGCCACTATAGCTAAAATGTAACATTTAAAAAGCAATTGAATGGCAATTGATGTAGAGAGAGGAGTTGAGACAATTTTAAATAACTAACAAAGAATAACCTTATTACAGACGAGTACCTCAGTAAGTTCTGAGTCCTAAGTTTCTTAGTCAAGCCAAAATGTTTGATTTTCATAATTTGGAAAAATATGCATACCAATACAATAAATACAAATTCTAAAATAGAATCTTTTATTTTAAATTAATAATAATAAGAACATATTAATGTCTAAGAAGTGTTTTATTACACATGATCCTAAGTAGAGATTTCATAGATTAAATAACTAACAAAGAATAACCTTATTACAGATGAGTACTTCAGCTAGTTCAGATAGTATTTAGTTTCTTAGTCAAGCATATAATCTTAATTTTAATGATTTGAAAAAATAATTTGCAAAATAATAAATAATATGCAAACCAAATTCCAAAATAAAATTTTTTATTAAAATTAATAATAAACATGCGTTAATTTCCCAGAAGTGTTTTGTCACATCTGATCCTAAATAGACACTTTTAAACAAGCTTACTTCAGAATCTTTTAAAGTTGGAGGAGCCCCAGCTGGGTTTTTTAGCCATCTATTCTCTTTCTTTTTCAGTCTTTCAGCCTAAAATGGAAAAAAGTAATTAATTAATAATTGTCATAAAATTTGCAAATTTCTTCCAAAAAAAAAAAGCCCTTTAAATTATTTCTTACTCTATGTCTAGCTTTTATCTTTTCCTTGTAAATTCGTCTATCTATTTCATTTTCTTTATCAAGTATAGGTTTCACTTTATCTAAGCTATAATCTTCCTCTAATAATCCTAGTTTTGGATCAGCAGCTAAATCTGGTATCAACTGTCCACCAACTTCCCGAAGAGGCTAAATAAAAAACAAAGAAGATTTATATGCAAAAATAAATGATTCACTGTTATTAAAAAATTTAATTAAGAATATTTTTTTTTAAATTAAGAAGTGTTAAGATTTATATGATAACAAGTAACACTCGGTGTTAAAAAAAAAGAAGCAAATTCTATTTTAAAATTAAAAGTTGTTCCTGCATAGGTAATTAAAAAAATATTCAGTTTTAATGTTTAATTAAAAAAAAAGTAAGTTACATGATAAGATGATTTGAAAAATAAATTTATTTATTACTTTATTATTCAAATTTCAAAGAAACGTGCATTAATCATATGAAAGAAAAAAGTGACATTTTTCTATTTCACAATCTCAAAACAAATAATTAATTATAATCAGAAAGATTAAAAAAATAAGAGATGGAAGCCATATAGAATTTAGTTATTTTATTTTAAAATTTACAAAACATTTGAAATTTGTTATTGCCAAGACCTGTATGAATGTTAAAGCTCACAGAGTGCACATCACATTTCAAACAATTATTTTGTAAAAGATCAAATAAGTCTAAGTTATCTCCAGTTTTTAACTTGGGTTAATTATTTTAGTAGTAACTAGAGGTTAAGTTTCATGGTACTTAATTACTAATTACAATATTCAGAAGTAATTATAATAGAGGTAATGCCCTCAGCTAGTATTGTTCATCAGCTCACTTGATTGTTTCACATTCATATTTGTTTCTTTTAACACACTGTTACATCGAAATTAAAAACTATTCAGTTAAAAGATAACAAAATTTTTTATTGCAGTAATATAAAATTGGTTGTAAAGGTTAAATTTGCGATCTTAATGGGATATAAGTAAACCTAATGTAGGATATAAGTAATTTGAAATATATTTTTGCAAAAAAATAAATAAATAAATAAAGATAAAAAAAGAGCAATAGTGGAAAAAGTTGATTCTTAAAACTAGTTATTTTGTATTCATTAATTTCATTTGCAGAACTAAAAAATTTTTTATAATAAAACTTATCAAAGTAATATAACATTTAAGTACATAATATAACATTTTAGTAAATATAACATATTGAAAAATAAATGAAACTTAACACTGACATTAAATCTTGCACTATAAAGGAATGACATTTTTAATTTTAAACCTCTACATTAAAATCAAAAATGTAAAAATAACAGACAATAATATTAAGAACTGATATTACTGGTAAGTGGTAGACAGCTTTAAATGAGAAATGGGTAAATAATTTATAGGTATAAATCATAAATTTTATGCTGATGACAGATAAAAATATCTAGATCTTTTTTATAAAAAAAAAATCATATTTTTTTTTCTTTTTAGACCAATAACAATGCACAAAACAGTCATCATTATCAAAAGATTTTTGTTTTCAGTTAGAAGTTATTTTCTCTTAATTTTCTTTTTATCAATCTGTTTAAATTGGAAGATAATTAAATATGAGTGAATCATTAATAGCTCAAAATGTAGAATCAGAAAATAATATTTTAAAAATAAAAAATATTTTACATTAGTCATTTCAGTGCATTAGTTTATTAAGTCATATTGAAGGAAAATAAACTTACATTTCCTTCTTCATCATACTTTAGAACAGTATTAAGTTTTGTCTTCTTTTTTAAAGCTTTCTTGACCAAAGCAGCTTTGGAAAGAACCTTATGAGTTTTACTTTTTTCTTCCCAATCCTAAAAGAAAGAACAAAAATTATAATATTTTTGTAATTTTTTCTTAAGCAAACATATGTCTATTTCTCTATTTTTGGGCGTACCTGTAAAATTTTTTTTTATTTTTAAAGAAACCAGCCTTAACTTAAAGACGTAAAGGAGTAGCAAAATTGAAAGCAACTATTTAGGATAGCAGTTATTAACGAATTCACATGAATCAGCCGGGAAAAGTAGTATTGACAAACCGAATATTTAAAAGCTTTATTTTTGCTCTGTATTTGCTTTGGCGAGGGACGAGCATGCGAAAACCATATCTTCTGTTTAGATCACAAAAAATTTAATGAATGTAACAAAGTCAAAAATTAACGTTAAGTCTTAATGGATGTAAGAAAGAGAAATTGCATTTGTCTAAATGTATTTTTTTAGTAGTACGAAAATCAGCATAAGTTCCTTGTAAGTGGTTCAGATTGGCTTTGATTTTTGAGGGAAAGAGGAGTAAATGACTAATCAAGTAAGATTTAAAATCACACAGGGAGTTTGGGATGAGATTACTTAAGGCTTAAACTAAAACCTAAAACTAAGCAGTCTTTAATACTGGTTCAAATAAAATAACATTTAAAATGCAGGGGTCTGTCCAGGCCAAATTTACTACCGTTTATTGGTACCTTCACAAATTCAACTTTAGTAAAAATGGTAGTTTCACAAACTATTTTTCTTAAAATTTTATTTTTGTATCCCTTAAGAAATGATAAATCTATATTTTTGTGTTGAAGTTTTAATATAATTTTTAATTTTCACAAATTATGTCTAAATTTTCACAAAATAGGTACCTGTCAGAAAAACCCAGACAGACCCCTGAAATTGCAAAAAATTATTAAATGACAAAGAAATATCTAGAAATCAAAAATGACTGGATATCTCATAAATTTACTATTGACTAACAATAACTAATAAAAACACTAACATAATACAAATTTACATTTTTTTTTATTGAGGCATATTTTTAAGAGTACTCTGAAGAACTGTCCTGTAAACTATTTTTCGTGATATTTTGACTTGTGATAGTGGTTACAACTTGTGTTTAAATAGAAAGCAAACATACCTCTTCCACATCAGATAAAATTTCAAGCTGTTTCATGGGTATTAAATATTCATAGTCATCTTGATCTGGTGAATCCTCATCATCACAATTTATAATTCTTATGGGCATTTTATGAGCTTTAAGATGTTTCTGGGCATTTTCTTCATTTATAATTGAAGAGTCAATATCTAATGACTCGTCTTCAGACGAATCTTCATTTTTTTGCTTTATTTCAGTGTTTGAATCTTTAACAGAGGCATTTTTATAACCTTTTACATGCTTTTCCAAGAATCGAATTCTTGGTACAAAATTGAGCCCAAGTGACCTGGAAAAAAAAAAGAAACAGATTAAGTTGGTAAGATAAAGTTTATTGATGTTAGGTTTAAATCAATATGATTATGAAGGGTATTCTAAATTCTAGTTCTTTTAGAAAAAACTCAACCACAGGGTATTTAATATTTTCAGAAGTGTTTTCTTTTACATTGTAAATTCAGGTGGTCACAAACACTTAGAAAAAAATTTTCGTTAACTTTTTTCCAAATTTCCTTTTAATTTTTGTTCAAAAAATTTGCCTTTTATTTTTCATTTTTGTATTATTCACATACATAAAATATATTACAAAACACTTTTATAAGTTTACAAAGTTTGAAAAAAAAATTGGAAGTATAAAGTGAGAATATTAAATGAAAATATTTAGGTAGACATGATAATTTAGACACATATAATGGTCACACATTTCTTTTTATATTAATTATTATTATATTTCTGATGTTATTTAATGTATATTAACACTATTTTTAAGAGCAACTGTTAGCACACTGAAGGAAATATTGTTTTCAGTTAGTATAAATGCCTAAACTAGATTTTTGATTGTGTAAGAGTTTCTGATAAATGTTAAATCAACTTACTGTAAAAAATTATTTTTAAAAATTAATGTAATTTTATATAATGTATAAAACTTCAGAGTAGACAACATTTAATAGAGAAGAAATCAATTTGTTTGTTTAAAATATGTCTGAAACCTAAATTAAGTCAATTTTCTTAATTTTTGTGTATTTTAATAGTTTCAAGATTTTCAAAAATTAAAAAATTCTTCAGTTTCTCTGGAACAAATTTTGATACATTTCAAAAGCTGAAATAAATTTAATTTTTAGAATGAAAACCAAACAGATATTACATTATTTATAATATAAATTTTTGAGTGGAACATAATACAAGATTAAATAACTGTTTTGCATTACATAATTACATAAAATTCTTACGTGGCATACTGGTCCACATCAATTTTCATGACATCAAAAACAGACTTGTCCTTCATTAAATATATATTTTTCAGATAAGACTTAAAAGCCTAAAAACAAAGAGAGTAAACATCAAAATGAAATTAAGAGCATGTGAGAAGCATAACTATTTCTTCAAAAAAATTAAATAAATAAATGTTTGAGAATCATAAACATAAAATATTTTGTTTTCAAATCTTTATCAAAAGATTCAAAATAGTAATTTATACTACTGGTCTTAGTGATACTGAATGTAATAAAAACTTTGAAACAACACTACTTAGCTTTGCATATTCAGCAACACATGCTCTGCAATTCAAATTTCATTTTTATAATACAATCTTTAATTAATTTTCAGTGATACTGAACGCAATAAAACTAGGAAACAACACTAGTCAGTAACGCATACTCTGCAATTCAAATTTCATTTTTATAATACAATCTTTAATTAATTTTCAGTGATACTGAACATAATAAAACTTAGAAATAACACTAGTCAGCAACGCATACTCTGCAATTTAAATTTTATTTTAAACTTAATTAACTATTAAAATAGCCTGCTTCATAAAAAAAAAAATAATAACACCTTTGTTTGAAATTAGTGAAGAGTATGATAAAAAAAGCTGTATATTTTAAAATAGAAGTGTAAACAGTTTATAACACTTTGACATTAAAAAAATTGCTCTCAGTTAAAAAAAAATGCTTTTTTTAAAAAAAATAATAATATAAATTGTATATAATGGATAGCAAAAAACAAAGAGAGTATTATTTTAAGAAGAAGAACAAACTATCTTATAGTACAGCTCTTTCATAATACTAAAACTGCTGTTTTAGTTGTTTAAAAATTTTTAAAGAAAGGAGCACATCTAATCAGAATCTTAATATCAGAAAAAATATAGTTTCCAATTAAACATATATTATTCATTTAAAGAACAATACAAATCAAATTTTTATTTTCAGCAATTAAAATTAATTTTACCATTAGGCTTACTTTAATTTTGCATCACAAATTTTTGTATCCTTTATGTATGTATATAATAAATCTATCTATCTTTCCTATATTTTTGGCTTTAATTTTACTTTTTAATTATTTGTGAAAGTTACGTAATAATTTATGTGAAAGTTCCTCCTCCATTTTGTAAATAAAATTGCAGAAGGGTAGAATCATCAGAGATCAGCCAGAAATACTACTAAAAGAAGGTCAATTATAAATAAGTCTTTCTAGGATAAGTCTGTTGTTTAATTTTGTCACTATTATGATTCCAAACCCTGAAATTTATAATTGTGTACGTAGGAAAATTATACAAATACTTGGAATAGCTAATTTTTTTTTCATACTTGTATTAAGGTACACTTCATACCTATAACAAATTTTTTGTTCAAATTCGACGAAAATTTTTACCTGATTTGTTACCATGCTTTTTATTTCACTTTTTCTACATGTTTCTGTGATTTTTTACACAATAAAGGATTCAGGTTCAGACTACAAAGACTAACCAAAAGCTATTCATAAAAATAGACACGTTTCAAATTTTTTAAAATGCCCATTTTTCTTTCGATAAAATTTTTTTTTTAAATTTATTTTTTTTCAATCTGATGAGTGTTGAGAAATCATCATTTTAAACTGTCTGCATCATATTTTAATTTTTGCTGTTGTCTACAGCAGGTTCTGAGTGCAAAATGCAGAATCCTATTGGTCAAATAGGGTTACTTTATTTTTGTAGAATCCAAAACTGCAATAAAAAAAAGGGGGTTCATATTTAAGATATCAAAGTTGCCCCCACTTTGCCCTCATAGGTGAGGGTGGAAAATCCAATTTGGCAACATTAGATAACTTTTCAAATAATATTAAATTTGCTTATCCCACTTTTTCGATCCAATAAATATTTTTCAAGATATTTGATTATTACCAAACTTTTCTTACGCCCTGTTTGTATAGTCAACTTTCAATATAACGAGGCATTTAGTTTTAAAAAAAAAGGGGTCTTAAAATGTGAGGTTGTTGTATTGTGAATGTGCAAAAAAATACAAGGAACATTTATTCTTCACTAATTACTTATTTAACAAAATTATTAACTACACATAAAAATATTATTACAACTTGCGTATAAAATATTTTGTAAAGAATTAAACACAATTTTAAATTGCTCTACAACATATGTTACAAGTTTGAGAGTAGAATAATAACAGAATAACTGGTAATAACACAACATGTTTCATTTTTATATTGATATAAATATAAAAGTATGAATTAAATAATAAGATGAATTAAAAAAATGAATTAAAAATAATAAAGTGATGATTAAAAAGAATACATTATAGGTGCAACATGCTTTAAAAAAAATGCAGGTTCTAAGAAACTACTTTAAAAAAAACATACATCCAGATAACTGCAAATTTTTATCAAAATTAAAGTACAGCAAATGAGTTATGAATAACACATGTTTTAACTTAAAAATTAACTAAGAATTTTGAAAATTAACTAAAAATTGAAAACAAAATTATTTCACTCTTATTTTACAAAAAGGGTGAATAAAATCATCAAGCAATAAAAGTATTATTGATTAACTTTTCGCAAACTTTAAAACGAAAATCACAAATATTGTAAATGCATCTTTTTTTACCAAACAAATGTCTATGGCACTCTTAATATCAATTTCTACTTGACCTTGAAATATTTAATTTTGATTATGAATATGGAGTAATCCAGCGTTTTCACAACAGCGCGAGAATATCGCATATTTTTTTCTTTTCTCGCATTAAAAAATGATTACCGCGAGAAATTCGCGCATTCTATAAATCTATTTCAAAATTCGCGAATTTCTCGCATTTTGGAAAAAGCTTCGAATTACGCCATTTAGAATAAAATCCGTTTCACTTTTCTTACTGGATTTTTCATCATTTTCAACATCTGCCCCATTATCTAGCTTCCCTATTTACCAGTATTGTTCAGAACCTTTTCGAACAACAGAACACAACCACGGAACCCCTTTCAGAACACATTTGTCTGCAACCACGCGTTTACCATAGGTAAGGTTTCTTCATGTAAGACGTTCAAATGTTTTATGCACTTATGCAAGATGGACAAATACCTTGTAAAGGCAAAATCTTCTATGATGATGCATCAAAAATATTCAATGCTTTAAAAAGTAGAAGACGTTAAAAATGTATTATAATTAAAGAAATTATTATTTTTTTCAAGAGATTTTGTGTTTTTTTAGAAATCTCACTTAACTTTTAGAAATCTCACCCTGTGTTTGAGAAAGGGTGAGAAATTCGCACCCATTTTTTTTCTATGATGAAAACACTGAGTAATCCGTATATCATAAATTCCCCCCCCCCTAAAATTACTAATTCTTAAAAACTAAAATAGGAAATAAAAAAATAATTAAGCTACTTGAAACTATAGCAATAAAATAGCTGCCTTTTTGTAATAAATTAAGAGGGACAATAATTTATTTGGTTAACTTTTATAAAACAGGTACATTTTATTAGTAATTCTAAATGATGATTATAAAACAAGAGTAAATTCAAGAAATATTGCTTGCATCTACAATTAGTATTCTTAATAGAATATTTTAATTACAATCAAAATAAAATGAGAAAAATCTGTAGGTTTTTGAAAATTTAAAAAAGTCTTAGTTAATTTAAAGAACAGAATCAGGATGGCCACTCTTTAAATAAAACCAAGTTTCCAATCCAAACATGGAAAAAAACAAAGAAAAAAAAACACATACCCTAGATGCAGATTCTTTAAAATTTTTATCCCTTGATAGAATAGCATCGAGCTTTCTTCTTACATCTTGAAGTTTATTTGGATTAGCCCTGGTTTAAAAAGAAAACAAAAGTATTTATAATAGAAAAATGGCAGTAAATAAGGAAAATAAATAATAATATTTGAAAAATTAAAATTATAAATAAAAAGTGGATAATAATTATAAAAAGCTTGGAAACAGTAAAAGTAATTTATTAAAGAGGAAGAATATATAATTAGAGAAAGTGGGAATAAAATTAATATATTTCTTGAAACAGTATTTTGTATCAAACTAAAAATTAACAAACAATATAAAACTTACTTTTTATATAGAAAAGCAGTATTTATTTTCTTACAAAGTCACAAGATAAAAAGAAATCAATTTATTTATAGAAAAAAATTAATGCGATGAAATAAATATAGTGTTACTTTAATGTTTTTACAGGGAATTTTTTTTCTTTGACCCAAATGACTGTATAACAAATAATTCCTCCCTATTCATTCATTTTAAATGTAATTTATAAGCAGAAAATTATCGATGTACAAACGTGGCTAAGAGCTCAGAGTTTTGAGGATTAAAGCAAAATAAAAACTTATAATTGTTGATTTAAATAATTTTCTTTACCTTTTCGATTCCTTATAAATATTTGGCAAAAATAACTGAAAAATATCTAAATATTCAGTGCATCTTTATTATAAACAAGTATATTTTTTCAGGTAAATCAGACGTAAAAATAGTTATCTTTGTACACAGTAGTAAGATTTTTTTACAGGTAGGTAAGCAATAATTAGCAGTTTGGATTTCTTAGAATAAACATGAGTTCCATTGGTATAACCTGCATAAATATTTTTTATTAGTTATCAGTGTACAAAACTTAACTAAGAAGTTTTCACTGCAAGAAAGTTGCAAAGGTTAGAAAAAGTTCTTTTTTTCAGAGGAAGAAAACAGAAAGTTATCATCAGATAGTTTAGGAGCTGATTCGACACAGATAATATTATAGAGACTTTCTTTAAAAGGAAAAAAACTAATAAATTTTAAAAAAATATTTACTTTATTTCTTCAATAGGTATTTTACGATCTGCAAGTTGTTTAATCATGGAATCCTTCTCAGATGGTAATAACACTAAAAGAGATTCACCACCTTTTTCATACCTATAACAAAAACAAATTCATTTATATTTAACAAATATTTAACTGATAAGTATTAAAAATCAACAAATTGATAACACATCTAACAGTTAAAAATTGCATGCATTATAACAATCTCCAAAAATAGTATTAATCAGTCTGAAAGTGATGCTAACAAATGAAATGTAGATAAAATTCACATGAAAAGATATAAGTATCTTAGCAATTTTATTTTATCATTATTCTTGCATTTTCATGAGTCTAGGTATCGAAAAACAGATTACATAGACACTCTAAAATGCTGTGAGAACTTAATGATCTTAAATCAAATTATTAATGAGTTGTTTTCTATTTCTGCATCATAACAATCTCCAAAAATAGTATTCATCAGTCTGAAAGTGATGTAAACAAATGAAATGTAGATAAAATTCACATGAAAAGATATAAGTATCTTGACAATTTTATTTCATCATTATTCTTGCATTTTCATGAGTCTAGGTATCGAAAAACAGATTACATAGACACTCTAAAATGCTGTGAGAACTTAATGATCTTAAATCCAATTATCAATTAGTTGTTTTCTATTTCTGCATCATAACAGTCTCCAAAAATAGCATTCATCAGTCTGAAAGTGATGTAAACAAATGAAATGTAGATAAAATTCATATGAAAAGATAAAAGTATCTTAACAATTTTATTTTATCATTATTCTTGCATTTTTATGAGTCTAGGTATCAAAAAACAGATTACATAGACACTCTAAAATGCTGTGAGAACTTAATGATCTAAAATCCAATTATCAATGAGTTGTTTTTTATTTCTGCATCATAACAATCTCCAAAAATAGTATTGATCAGTCTGAGAGTGATGTGAACAAATGAAATGTAGATAAAATTCACATGAAAAGATATAAGTATCTTGACTCATCATTATTCTTGCATTTTCATGAGTCTAGGTATCGAAAAACCGATTACATAGCCACTCTAAAATGCTGTGAGAACTTAATGATCTTAAATCCAATTATTAATTAGTTGTTTTCTATTTCTGCATCATAACAGTCTCCAAAAATAGCATTCATCAGTCTGAAAGTGATGTAAACAAATGAAATGTAGATAAAATTCATATGAAAAGATAAAAGTATCTTAACAATTTTATTTTATCATTGTTCCTGCATTTTTATGAGTCTAGGTATCAAAAAACAGATTACATGGACACTCTAAAATGCTGTGAGAACTTAATGATCTTAAATCCAATTATCAATGAGTTGTTTTCTATTTCTGCATCATAACAATCCCCAAAAATAGTATTCATCAGTCTGAAAGTGATGTGAACAAATGAAATGTAGATAAAATTCACATGAAAAGATATAAGTATCTTGACAATTTTATTTCATCATTATTCTTGCATTTTCATGAGTCTAGGTATCGAAAAACAGATTACATAGACACTCTAAAATGCTGTGGGAACTGAATGATCTTAAATCTAATTATCAATGAGCTGCTTTCTATTTCTGCATCATAACTATCTCCAAAAATTATAGTCATTGGTATGTAAAAGATATTTCAGAAACAAGCTCCTTACAATTTATATGAGCTGATAAATTTAAATATAAGGTAAATTTAAAATAATTACAAATTTAAAGTCAATAAAAAAGTAAAAAGAAAGAATTTTCTTTTTCTTTTTACAAACTGAATTTTGAGCTCATGCAAATTTCATTAAAACAAAAATATTGAAAGATTTAAATGCAGTTTTGAAAGTTAGTATAAAAATATTCAAGATGTTTTGTCATTTTCTTTCTAAAAAGGATAAATTTTATTTCCAATTTGTTAACAATTTATAATGCAATAAAATTAAATGGAAAGAGGAAACAAATAATAAAACAATGAATTTACCTAGCAGTTCGCCCAGCACGATGTATATAAGTGTTAACATCTTCAGGACAATCTAATTGAACAACCCAATTAACATTAGGAAAATCTGCAAAAAAATAAATAAATAAATTAGGAAAAGAAATTTTTTTATCGGTCCATTATTCTTTAGCACAGAAAGCAAAGTTTTTCTTTTTATATATAAACAAGGAAACTGGTATTTAGTGTACACTATTAACCTTTTATTAATATGATTCTTTAGGAAAGCATATCAATGTTTACTTGTTATGAAGAATATATTAATTTAAGCCAGAGTTAGCAGGATTTTGTATACTATGAATAAATTCACTGTGAAAAAAAATTTTTTTTGTGGTCCTCCCCTCAAACTGTCCATAAATAATTTTATGTAGTTTAGGCAATGAAAAAAGTGCAAGAAATCAAAAAATACAAAATTAATATCTTATTGGTTAAACTATTATTAAATGTGAATAATATATTTAAAAGTAAATAAATAAAAAGCAAGTGAATTCAAATTAGTATGTTATACCTTTTTTTCTTGAACTTCCCTAAACTTGTAGATTTATGTGAACAAAGCTATAAAATTTAGAATTTAATCAATAAGCCAATCTGAAACTTCATAAACTGTTATTATTGAATAGGAATCCCATCTTTCTTAAAATGGTTGGTTTTATTTTTAAAAAAACTCTAACTTTTATAGATATTACATAAAATTATGCAACCTTTTGAATTAAGTATAATTATATATTTCATAATTTACTAAAATTTATTGAAAGAAAAATTGAATTGTATGCTTTCAGCTGGTATTGTATTTTTTACTCAGCACTAATTTTTTTCAGCAATTCGATATCTATTTTTTGATATGAATAAGTGCATAGTCATTGTATTTAAAATTTTAAGTGTTTTAACTATTTTTGAAATTTTAAGTAAAGGACAAGCTTAAAATACTTTCAGACAATTAAGACTAGTGCTGGGCAATATTAGAATTTTTATTATGGTATATCCTGAGAAAATATATTTCATATTTTTTTTATTACATGTTATTACGTTATTTTTTTAAAAGAACAATGTTTCCATTACTCAAGTAAAGGAGAAATTTTTTTTAAAACATTTTTTCTAAAAAACAATTTCAGTGTTATAGCTCAAACGCAGAAATCAGTTATTCTATGGATTATCTAAACAGTTGGACAAACTACCTAGATAATCCCCAAATGAACTACTAAGTAAAATCAGATCTTTTCTGGAACATCAGCAATGTTTTTGTAATCTAAAATTTACAATGTTATTCATTTTTAGATAGCTGAAGAATTAAGTTGCTACAAAAAAACAATGGCAAATTAGTAGAACAGCCAATTAAAAATCTCAAACCAAACACCAAGAATCTTATGATTCAAAATATTATTAAAATTTAGGAAATTAATAATGTTATTCACATATTAGATTCAATGATTATAAGAAGAAAAAAACAACCATTGACAACAAATAAAAAGCAGAGGGGATAGAAGCAGGGAAAGTAAATAAAATAAACAAACATTTTGAACTTTAACAAGGTGGAAGCCATTAATGTACACATCTAACTAAAATTTTTTTATGATTCTACACTTTAATAAATCCTCCCAGTTAAGCTGAAGATTAGCTAGGTACTGTTTACATTAACAGCTTTCCAGTTTTAGGGCAACATATACAGATAGAAATAAGATCACATTTTTATTCTTTGAACAAGACAATTACAGATAATTTTGGTTGCTGATTTATAACCAGGGAAAAACAAGTAGGGATCGATTAAAGATATGCTATTTTTAATCTATTCTAGTTAGCAACTTCTTTAATGAAATTTTTAGTTTGTACATTAAATTTATATAAATATTCTTTGAGGAAAATAAAAGGTAACGAAACGAAAATTTAAAAAATGTTGTAATAAGAAGCATTACTAGAAATATTAAAATAACAATAAAAATAATGTATATAGGCTTAAAATTTCCCCCCCCCCCATTAAAACAGCTATGTATTGACAAAATATTAATTTTTTTTTTTAGCTAAATGAGACACATGAATTACAGAGTTTCAACAGTGACTATTTTCTCTGATGGATATGTATTTAATAAAGCTTTAAAATATTGAAGTTCATCATAATATAACATAGCTTTAAATACAGATCTTCTGTGATTCTATTAAGAAATTATAGATAGGTAATTCAATTAAAACACACATAAGATAACAGCAAGAGCATTCACAAAAATAAATAAGTAAATACAGTACAGAACCCGTTATCCGGAAATCAGTAAACCGGAAAACCAAAAAACCGGAACGAAATTCGATAAATTTTTCCGCCATTTTTTAAAAAAAAATTTTTTTTTCCTCGTAAGATTTTTGGATTTTCCTTTCTTTTTTGAAAGATGTTTACCTTACCATCATTTTGGAAATAATCATTAGTGTATTACTTCGTTTTTTCAAGATTATTTCCAAAAATTTTTTTTTAGTTGGGTTTAACAATAAAAGAAAGCTGCTTTTTGTAGCGATTCAGAAAACCGGAAAAATCAGTTATCCGGAATAGCGATGGTCCCGATCGTTCCGGATAATCGGTTCCCTACTGTAAATATTTTTTAACTAAAACATGCAAATTCATTTATAAACTAAAATCTATATCAAAATTAGTTAATTTTTGTAAAATAAAAATGCCATACCTAATCCTCTAGATGCGACATCTGTTGCAAACATAACAACATGATTCTTTTTGCAGAATTCATCATAAATCTGCATCCTTCTTAGTTGATGCAAACTGCCATATAATGCCATTATACTAACTCCTGGTCTCAGACGACAGATACTTTCATAAGTGAACTTCACCTATAGAGTGAAATAGAGTTTTTTTTTTATAAAATCCTTTTACATTAAGTACTATGTGAAAAACAAATTATTCAATTTAGAAAAAAACATTAAAGTTAATATAATCTTGAAATTAAAAGCTATTTATAAAAGTTTCTTTAAATCTACGTCTAGTGCATAGGTTACCTAATTTTACTGAATCATTGCCCATTGAGATTTAACAAGCTGAATGGACCATATTTGTTTATGAACACATCAAATTTTTTTTTTTTGAAATTCCAACTTCAACGCAAGTTAATGCAATTTTAAGAGCTTTTTTTGCGATTGTTTTTCCAAATTTTTTGCTTTAGGTCACATTTTGCTTTGCTGTACAAAATTCATAGTTGTAAAAAAAAATACAAAAGTATGTAGAAATTCAAAGGATCGTTCAATTTGCAACGACGAACATATTACCAAAATGGCCTTACATAAAATCAGAATTATTATATAGTTTATAAGCAAAAATTATCTTTCTTTTTTTTAATAAAAAAAAGTATTATATTTTAAGGGGGGCAAGATGATCATTAGGATACCTCAGAGGTTGGCAAACGAGAGTAGATGGAGTTTCCGAGTAAGTCCTTGAAATAAATGCATATTTAATTAAATCAAAGAATATATCAGCTTTGTGGAAAAACTTTAGGGAAACTGCAGGGGCACCAAAGTTCAAGACCATGGCACCCTTCAACTTAAAATTGAAAAGCGTTCATTACAGTATTTTGTAATAGTTAAAAATCAATTTTTTAAAATGCCAACTATCCAATTTTTTCAGGGTTCTAAGTGCTGCTCACCACAGTACCAAAATGTCTCATTTGGCAACGTAACGAATGACAATATTTGCTACATTGTGAGACCTGAGAAAGATGTTTTTTTTTTTTTTTAAAGAAGTGATTTTTTTAAGAAAACTGATTTATACCATTCGTATTCAACAGTATACAACATCGTTCACATTGCTTCAGTAATGCCACTACATTATGTAGACAGCTGGAGGAAGTTCAGTGTTATGAACTCCACCAAAACAAAACTTTGATATCAAATTGATGCAAAAAATGTAAATATACTTGTTTGTCTGAATGGGCTGAATAGGGCATTGTACAACTTAATAAGATATTTGACGTGTGGGTGTCTAAGAAAAACAGACAAATACTAAAAAAATTATTTTTTAATGTTAATTATTATTTGTAATCTGATTATTTTCAGAAATATATATATTTTTAATTTATTGTACTCACTACTAATGTACTATATAACAGAACTAACTCCAGTCAAATATTTGCATTCCATAACAGTTTAAATATTTCTTTCTTTCAAAACAATAAAAATTTTTTTAAAGTATTAGTAGTTTCCATAATGGATAATGGGATTCAGAACTGGAAGGAAGGGGATGAGTGGTTTCATTCTGCTAACATTTCTTTCATTTAACTATTGTTTTATTGGACAAACTAGCTGAATTGCTAAGGTTTTTCAGAAGGCATTGAGAACACTGAATTCTTTGATACCAAAACCAAATATTTTATGAACATTAATGAATGCTCAACACTCATTTTAACTATAGTTTGTTAACAACTTGCTAGAAAATCCTAACACCTCTTAAAAGATCATGTGCACTGGTGAACAATAGCCCCAACTTATGATCTAGAAATAGAGAGGGAAGTTGACAACTTAACAATATGTGGCGTAAAATATTTTTGTTGCTGTGACAACTGTACATTTTTTTATCAATCTGTTTTAAACAAGGGCATATTTTTATGCTAAATCATTTTCAGATTTTTTAAAATAGCTTATTACTCAATATCCAACACTATGATGAGGTCTTGTTTTTTTAATTTGAATAGACATTAGTACAAATTAATCTTATCTGAAACTTTCATTCATTCAGAGGGTTCTAGTTGAACGGTTAAATAAATTCTAGTTGCATGTATTATACATCAATCCACTGCATATAAATACAATCTTTTCATCAATTTGGAACTACAGACAGAAATGATTCATGTTAATTGGTTAATTTAAATACATGCCTAAAGCAGATACTCTTGTAACTAACCTAATAATTATCTATGGGCTTATAGTTATTATCTTTTTAAAGACCTTATATTTGCAAATTTAGTTATGTAAGTTAGATTATGATGATTTAAACTCCCTCTGACTGCATTGAGGTTGCAAGCAAATTTGGATTTATGAATATAGTTCTGAAGATTCACCTCATTAATTCTGGCACGGAGCATTCTTACGTAACACAGGCATGTTTCCTGTACAAGCGAACTAGCTGACTCGAAAACAATTTAGAAAGTTAGAAAAACAAATCAAAGAAGAAAAAAAAGAAGAATGTTTAAAAATATGTATGTTAGCAAAAACATCACTTCATCAAGGAGCGCAAGAGGACAAATAAAAGAATCAAAACTTAAAAATAAATTATAACATCTTAAGCTCAACCAATTGATACAATGGGTGCTAATTTATGTCAAGTTCGAGGAGTTGAAACTGTGATAATAAAATTTGTTTGAATGCATATTTTTGAATACAAAAGATTTGATTTGATAAAGAGAAAAAAAAAAACCTTAGTTTGCTTTAAAAGTTTAAATTTTTTTTTTCCTTCCCTGTTTAAGTTTATGAGGAATACATATAATCTTTTATTTTTCTTTACCCATACAATATCATACTCAGATTAAAACAGCTAAAATATGTGAAAAGTTTTTTGGGGATTTTAGATTTAAAAAGAGTCTTTCTTTCACTATACATAGATAATTATATGCTTTAGAATAATTATAATAGTATCAATAATCAAAAGGTTATTCTTTTATTTTGAAGTTAGAATTTAGAAAAACTAATTAAATTAAAGAGAGGCACTTCACAACATATTAGACATTATTTCATATATTTTGTAGTGCTTTATATTTAAAATGAAAGCAAAACAAACTGTTAAATTTTTTTTTATCTTACCTGCTTGCAACTTGCCATAAATACCAAAATCTTCTGTTTTTTATGACTTTTAATAAAAGACCAAATTAAATTCATTTTGTCATGAGCATCACAAACAATAAAACTCTGTAAAATAAATATTTTGTTTTTAAATAACACAGCAAAACAAGCTTACAAATAATATAAACAATATTACTAGTATAAAAAGACCAATACATTAAACCACCAAGAGCTCCCTGGTAAAATAGTGCTGAATTTTCCCTGTTACACACTACATTTCTTGCATTTGAAAGTTAAAAATCCAGGAATAAACAAAGAAATTACTTTAGCTATTAAACTCTACAGTTTTAAGTTAAATATATATTAGAAGAAAGACTGCAAAACACTAAAAAAATAATTATTATAAAAGTAATTTATATTACATATGAATAATGCTAACAGCATTTTATGTATTACATAACTATGTTATGTTATATTACAATTTAGATATTTAAAAAGCAAAAAAGTACACCAGGATTAAAAATTTTAAGGACTAGAAAAAATTTACAATATTATATAATTTAAAATATTATATACGTTTTAAAAAAATCACAATTTTTAAAACACTGAGCTAAGAGTATGATGTAATTCTCTATTACAGACAAGCAAAAAAAGTTTTTTTTTTAAAAAACAAACTGTAAGGAATAAATAGGCACAAATAGTAAAAATACTGTGGTCTGAAAAACTACATTTTTTTCGTAATTAACTACAATTATTTTATTACAAATGTAGCTAACTACAAGCATTTATTTAAAAATGCAGTGATTGAAACTACTTTTGAAATGCAGTTTTCACTTTATTACATTTAGGAGACAAATTTTGCTACAGGATTCAACTTATATGGATCAAAATTTAAAAAAAAAAAAAAAAAAAACATCTTAAATNAAAAAAAAAACATCGAAAGAAAATTAAAAAAAAAAAAAAATTTTTTTTAGAATAATAAATAAGTCAACTTAATTATTAGACTTTTTTTTTTGAATCTTGACCATTTTATACCTTTTATCACAGTATTTATTTCAAGATTTACTGTTCTTTTGTTATAATGTTCAAATATTTGTGATTTTGTTACATCTTTAGAGCCTCAGTTAACTAAATTAAAAATAAAAGAAACTAAGTAAAATATACCAAGGACATTCTTGTAGCATTCACTGATGAACACATGTATAAATTGCACAAATAAAATTCCAAAAATTTGTTGCATTTAAACTTTTTTTTTCCTTTTTAAACTAACACAACAAGTTGCAAAGAATCTCTCTAGTGTGTGCATCTTTTTTGGTATTGCACTACTACACAACTTTTTTTCTTCAAAAAACAGCACATTACACTACCAACTACAAAAAAAGTAAAGACTACAATATTTTATTTTTTGTAGAACATTAATTCCGACCACTGAATAAACAGCAAATTTTAGCATACTTCATCAATATTAACAGTTTATCCCAAAAGTTCGCAGAACGTATTTTAAACACATAAAAAATAATCAACCAATTAAAGAATAATAAAAAATAATCAAGCAATTAAATATTTAAGCTATATTTATCAATATAACTCTTATAATAAACCTGTTATAAAATGTTTTTACAAAAATATAATTAAAATTAATTACTTGTTGCAAAGCCTCTGGAGTAGTGTACTTTGCATGTTCATCAACAGAAACATATACAGGATTTTTTAAACTTAATCTAGCCAAATCCTTTACAGACCTATAATAAATAATATTTTTAGAAGGCATAACAAACTATTAATATAAAACCTGGACACATGTAATAATAAATTAAACTTAATACAAATAAAATTAATTCTAGGTTAATTATTAAGAGTTCGGTTGAATGAATCTGACTTTTTGAACAACCAAGTTTCTATGTGATATACTTCAATTTTTGGTAAAAAATTTTTTTGAGCCCTTTAAAATTACTTGACTGCAGTAAATTTTGAGCATACAAAAACCTGTTTCGATTAAATTAATAACAAAGCCATAAGGAATGTCAACAAATTATAAAATTTTAATTATTTGAGCTTTATTAATTGTAATGGCATATGCCTTTGAGTTTTACGTATGAATTTGTAGTGTTAATTAAATCAGATTTATTGACTACTTTCATTTTTTTCTCTTAACAGGTATGAAGAATGGGCATGTATTCAACTAGAATAACAATAAAATCAATGTCTTCAACTTTTTGATTGTTGCCAGAACATTCCAATTGGATAATAAAATCACAAGATATGTACTAGTTTCAATATATAAAGATTGAGTTAACTTATACAGAAATATTTTGATTTTAAATTTTGATGTATCGTTGCTAATATTTATAAATAAATAAAAAAAAACTAGACATCTTTTACTGTCAAAAACATAAAATTAACTATACAATATCAACTGAAAATTATCTATTCATTCCTTTCCTAAATTATATATTGCTATGCTACTTTATGATGTTTTGATATGTTATGTTTTGATTATTGAATAGTTGACACATTAAAAAAGAAGAAAAAAAAAGTTTATAGTAGTCAAAACCAGTATATTAATAGGGTAAGGAATAAGTAAATATTTAATAGTAAATATTTACACAATGATTGCAATAAATATACTTTGATGGATTTAATGCATATATACAATGAGTTTCATAATGCCCACCGTTAATACAAAATTAAAATAATAATATTTAAAAATCACAATAAAAAATGAACTAAAAAAAAGTATCTTATTTTTATACTATTTATTTACACATTAGAAGTCATAAATAAATGTTCCACAGTGTCAACTATCAAAATCTGGCAAATCCCTGCTGTTCAAGGCAGAACTAAACACTTTAAATGAAAAAAAAAAAAAAGAAGAAGTTAGAAACAACATTACGGAATCTAACTAGTTTTCATTTCCCTAGCCTGCCTAATTATTCGAAAGATTTTGAAAGCATTCTTTTTTTTTCTTCTTTTCTTTCTTCCTTTCTTGACTTAAATATTAATTTGTATGTGCATTTCGGTGTTGTACTGTACTTTATTAGTTTTACTTGTGACAAAGATTTTAACAGTCTGCATTCGAGGAATAAAACGTATAGACTTGAAAAATGCTTCAACTTGAACTTACTTTGTTTGTGTTGCAGAAAATAAAAGCGTTTGTCTCTCTTGAGGAAGATTTTCTATAATAGCATCCAAGGTTTTGGCAAATCCTAAATCCAAAATTCTATCAGCTTCATCTAGTACTAAAAATAATTATAAAATTTGCAATAAGTTTAGAAAGTGAAACATTAATAATATTCAGAAAGTATGAATACATTTTTATGATAGTAAAAATTTCAAATAAAATTTACAAACAAGAGAGAAAAATGAGATAATTTAGTTATTGCATTTTTCTTTTGGTTTTAACAGTTTGGTAATGAGTTTTTTAACCCTCTATAGGATAAATAACACATTAAGATAAAGAAACTTTAAATGTTTTTAAAGTTTATAGTACTATAAAAGATCTATATAATGTAATTCTATAAATCTCAATTCCTCATTAAACACAGAAACTTTCATATTTCTTTAGCAAACCAAACTTGATAAATTTGTTGGTTTTAGTTCTANAGTGTCAACTATAAAAATCTGGCAAATCCCTGCTGTTAAAGGCAGAACTAAACACTTTAAATGAAAAAAAAAAGAAGAAAAAAGAGGAAGTTCGAAACAACATTACAGAATCTAACTAGTTTTCATTTCCCTAGCCTGCCTAATTATTCGCAAGATTTTGAAAGCATTATTTTTGTTTATTTTTCGTTTCTTTCTTTTTTGACTTGAATATTAATTTGCATGTGTATTTCGGTGTTGTACTGTACTTTATTAGTTTCACTTTTGACAAAGATTTTAACAGCCTGTATTTGAGGAATAAAATGTATAGAGTTGAAAAATGCTTCAACTTGAGCTTACTTTGTTTGTGTTGCAGAAAATAAAAGCGTTTGTCTCTCTTGAGGAAGATTTTCTATAATAGCATCCAAGGTTTTGGCAAATCCTAAATCCAAAATTCTATCAGCTTCATCTAGTACTAAAAATAATTATAGAATAGGCAATAAGCTTAGAAAGTGAAACATTAATAAAATTCAGAAAGTATTAATACATTTTTATGATAGTAAAAATTTCAAATACAATTTACAAACAAGAGAGAAAAATGAGATAATTTAGTCATTGCATTTTTCTTTTGGTTTTAACAGTTTGGTAATGAGTGTTTTAATCCTCTATAGGATAAATAACACATTAAGAAAATTTAAATGTTTTCAAACTTTATACTATAAAAGATCTATATAATGCAATTCTATAAACCTCAATTCCCGATTAGAAACATTCTATTTCTTTAACTTTCATATTTCTTTAGCAAACCAAACTTGATAAATTTGTTGGTTTTAGTTCTAATGCTATTGATAACTTTAACTTTTTTTCAGCAAAAAATACATAATTGCATATTGTGTTTTAAACTATTTGTATTTAAAAATTATTTTAGTTTAATGATAAGTAAAATAATATAGATAACACAAAATTCTAAATAATGCAAATCCTTATGTTTCAAGATTTGCTTTATAAAGATCTACTGTAAAACTTTATTTCAATTAAATTACGTCATTAATTTAATAAAAATTCCAATAATTTAATAATGAAAAATAATGCCAAATAAATAATTGTTCTAGTTAAAATTTGATGAGGTTGCTTCTAAGTGCAAAATTTTGTATGCATTTGAGACCTAAAATTAGAAATAAAAAAGAATGCAAATTAAAAAGAAACAAGTTTAAAATAGGGGAATGAAGAAAGCATTACATAATTGGTCAAAGAGAGTAATGCAATATTAGTAATCCTTAATTGTACTTGCTTTAAATATTATATAAAAAAAAAAACAATATTTCATATACATTATAATAAAAGAAAGGTTTAAACATAAAAATCAAATAATAAACTTGATTAAGCAATAATCTTTAAGAATGTCTATAAAACTGAGGTACGTTATTATAACTTAGATAACAGTTTACCAAATAAAAGCTATAAGTTTCTAAGATTACATTAAAATAGATTATTCAAAACCTTTATTGATACAAAATTTTAATATTATATTTTTGTTTAGTTTTATTAAAATGTTTACATTTTTGTTAAAATTTGTTCGAACTATATCCTAAACTCTGAGCACTAGCTCCGGATTTTTCTGAACTTTCCAGTTGGAAGCTTTCTCAGAATGTTATTCAGTGGAAGTGCGTAACAGATATTTTTTTCTGCTCAGTGTTTTTTAGAGGGCTCAATGCTTGGTAATTTAATTCTAAGCTTCAGTAAGAACTATCTGAAAAGAGCAATATTCAGTATTTTGGTTGAAATCAAAATTAATGATTCACTATTTGACAGCAGGATATTCAGCTATTGCTGAGTGAAATATTGGATATTCGATTATTCAGCCAAACCACTAACTATCAGTTGCATCCCTACTTAACACAAGCACTAAAATTAACTCACTCAAAATCTTTAAATTCATTGAGTCAAACAGAGGATTTTCGTCCATGTGCTGTAAAAGGCGACCAGGAGTACAAATCATTATGTTACACTTATCAAGCAGTTTTCTTTCTTTAGCTAAATCCTATAAAGAAACATAAATATTACATCTTACATTATGTAGTCCATAAATGACTAAAACTGTTAATGAAAGGTGACTTACTTTTCCACCAATAATTAAGCCAACAGAAAATGTATGATTGGCTCCAACTTTGTTGATAACTTCATAAATCTGATAAGCTAGCTCTCTCGTTGGAGTGATGATAAGTGCACCTAGACCATCAAGTATGGTCCAGCCAGAAACAAAAAGCTGTTCTAGTAACTAAAAACGAAACCCCCAAAAATGTTATTACAAAATTGATTCAAATAAAAAATAAAAAAAACTGGAAAATTTTAAATATGTAAAAACTGTTAATTTCAAAGTGAATAAAATTGCAAGTATCAGGCATGACAGTGGATAAAAGAACAAAAAGTCTGAAATTACCAATGAACTCAAACCATGAAACAAATTGAGCACATGAAAATTTTTAGAACAAAAAGAAATCCTCTAATTATATATATACTTATTTAAAGTTTTTTTCCCAACAACATGTGTACATTGACAGTCCAAACTTAATGCATAAATCATTATCAACACTAGAAAGAATGAACATTGCTGTATACCTAGAAAGACTAAAGGGGCCAGTGTAGTTCTTCCTCGATTGTTTTTGTGTAGATCAATTAGACATACAAAATCTTAAAATATAATCACAATAAATTTAATAAAACCTATTATAGACTTGATCATCGAAATTCTGTGGTATTTTATTAATTCGGTTAACGAAATTAATTCAAAAAGAATACTGACCTTGAAAAAATACTTATTATACATTAGTCTCTTCGACAATTGAGTTTCCTTTTCTCTTTAAATAATAACAAATATTTTGAAAGACTTCTTTCTTTATTTTTTTTCTACATGAAACTAGGGAATCTTATACTTACCAAAGAGTACTTATACTCAAATCTATGTAGGGTTATGGGATACCTACCAATGGGGTCACTCTGGCTCTTTCCATCATTCTTGTTATAAGGTTCTACAAGGATATATGTTTCTATAAGGTGAACAGTTTGAATTATTAAATAAGCACTTAAATTGGATCAAATTATGGCAAGTCAGAAATACTCAACACTTTCCATAAGTTATTTTTTTGAATTATAGTGCAACAAAAAACAAGAGTGGTCAAACTGGCCCCATCCGTTGTTCTAGAGTTTTAGATAATTAAATAATAATAAAGTAAAACAACAAAATAATGTACTAATATTAAGAATTCTTCTCTGGTTAAAAACTCGGTAAAGCCTCATGTCTGAACCGTTGTTAGTACCAGTTAGCGAAAATTGATTAAAAATAGTTATCAAAACAAACATTTTGTGTTAAGAAATAAAAAATTGTTCTATCTTTTTGAGAACCGAAGATTTTTTTTAAAAAGAGAGACAGTAAAAAAAATAGTAAAATAATTTTTTTTTTAATAGATTATCCTCACCAGTTTTACAGAAAGATAATATTTGAAAATGAATGCCAAATACATTCCAATAGATTGACTTTCAGTGTAGATATTACAATTAAATATTACGAAAGCAATTTTATAAAAGTGTGAGCGTGAAAGTAATAAATCTACAAATTATACTTTAGAAAATAGTATGTTTTCAGGGACAATTTTAAAGCATGACAAAAATAAATAAATAAATTACATAATTTGAAATATTTACATACAGTTTTGTTTAATTTTTATATTTTTTAAATATGCAAGTCACTTACAGGTATAACAAAAGCTAGAGTTTTGCCAGACCCTGTTTTTGCAGCTCCTAATATATCTCGTTCTTTTAGTCCTAAGAGAATAGTTTCCTTCTGAATTTCAGTTGGAGTGAAATAACCACACTCCTTCAAACCTAGAAACAGAAAACTTGTAATAAAATCACATAAATTGATTTTTTTTTTCACACTATGTTACTATCACAGACATAACTAAGGTTGAAATTGCAATGTAACGAAAAACAGCTTTATTTCATTTTAAACATTTGTTATTGTTAGAGGATACATATAAAATTATAAGTGATTAATTAATTATATTCTTGAATTATTTTGATATTAAACTCTTTTTGTTTTGAGTAATACTGTTGAAAACTCAAATTTTGGGTTAGAAAATATTAAATAATTATTTATAAAAAGAGTAAGATTGAAATTTAATTTTCTGTTAATTTGTTAAATTATTGAAAATAAAACAATAAACTTTAAAAAAAAATTTAAAAAAAAAAACACTCGACAATCCCCTAATTCATTATATTAAAATCAATTTTTATTTATTGCCATTTTAACTCCTTTTGACATGTCATGACAAAAACCAGCTCTTGATGTCAAAAACCTAACCCTGATTATAGTAGTAATTATAATGCAAGTATTGTGTAAAATTTAACAGCTTTGTAGTTTGACTCTGTGGCAGAATTTTTTCAGTTTTTCTGCATCATACCTCTCTAATACTAATAGCTTGCTGAAAAATATCTAATAACGAATTTACATGTTACGAATTTAAAGTGTCAGAAGCATTAAGTTCAAAAAATAAATAAATAAAAAAATTGGAACAAATAAAATAATTTTTTTAATTGAATATTATTTTATTCTAATATTATGAACAATATTCTCACTTTTTGTAGGAAGATAACACACTAATTATTTCCGTTTTTGCATTTTGTAATTCATCATCACTTTAAAAATTTTTTTAAAAAATCGTGAAATCTGTTGCTGTAACTACCGAAAAAAGTGATTGACGGGAAAATCATGCAATTGGACTCTTTAAAAGGGGTTACAAAATGCATGTTTTCATTCCGAGATTCAGTTATTGTAATGAATAATACTGCATTAAAAATATCAGATTTTAAAAGCAATGTGTAAATCAGTAGTAATAACTGCATGAAAAAATAGAATGAAAATTTCTACTGAAAAGAAAAACCAAATTTTTTACTTCATTATTCTCCAATGGGAATATAAAAATCATAAGCATTTTTTCCTATACTGATGCACGAGTAAGGCTTCTTTTGATTATAATTTTGAAGAAAAGATTAAATCTTTCGAAAATTTCCGCAGAAAAGAGAAACTAAATTTCTCACTTCCCAAAGGAAAAATCTTTCTGCAAGAACTTGGTAACGTTCCGCGACAATGCTGTGGTGTCATCACGATTTTGCCACAGCGAGTTCAACTTCTAATAAAATGTCCTCAATGGCAGAAAGGTTTTTGCTTGTTTTTTGTCAAATTTTAACAGTTTATGACAGTTTTTTGATGTCAAAACTGCAACTCTGATCTAAATAAATACTTATAAGTTTTTAAAATTAGATTAATACAGTAAAAGTAAAGTTATAGCAAAATATAAGCGGAAGAAGCTTCAATCTTCTTATGTTAGTTTGGGAGAGGGTCTAGAATTTCCCAAAACGATTTTAAGTAATATATAAATGGCTCACAAGGATAAGTATAAAAGCTCTATGTTTCTAAAACTCAATTATGTTTCACAAATATAACCACTATCAAGGTCTGTGACAATGTATATGAATAATATTAGATAAACTTATTAAAAAAACCTTTTTTCGTTACTGATAATAACAAAGTTGGAATGCCGAAAATATTTGTAAAAAATATTTTGAAATATAATAGATATAGAATACATTTCATTTTGAAATATTTTATATATATCTAATATTCTATATACATATTTTATATACAATAGAATAGCTTTATAACCTATAACAAAAACTTTTATAATTGAAAAATAAATAATTGTTTAAATACCTTTTCTTGTTCTTATTGACAATGGAATATCATCAAATGTTTCTATATTTTCAGATGTAGTTATCTATGAAGAAAAAAAACATAACTTCAGAAATCATTATGAATTATCTAAATTTATATAGCATAGAAAATTATACATATAAAAAGAACTAATAATTGAGAAAATAATTGCATAGTTCTTACACATTAGAGTGGTTTTGTTTAAGTTAAATCTTTAATTATGAGGGCAGTCTTGTGGTTTCTCCCTTTTTCTAATAATGATTTATATAATGCCACTATTAAAATAGAAAACATAATAAAAAATGAAATTTCTTCATGAATTGGCTAAAAAAAATCTATAAATGAAATCTCAATCAAGAATTTCAATCTCAATTACTGAAGAACATAGCTTAATAAAAACTATTCATTTTCAATAGAGATGTAACGAATAGTGAGTTATCCCTATGAATAAAAAAGGACAAGGTGCTCACTTAACACAGTAAAAATTTAACAATATGTTTAATATTATGTAATAACTGAACATGAACCTCAACGATTTTTAAATTACCTTCTTTTCCTATTTTATGTGTGCATTTCAAAAAGTAATTTAAGACATGCTAAAAAACAATTCACTATACGCATATTTTTTCAAAAAAAGTATAAAAAAATTATTGATAAACTTCAAAGTTTTCGTCTATATTTTAAACTGTAAATTATGAGACAATAAAATTAAAAGGAGCATTTTTTTTTTTAAAAAGGTATTTATTTACAAAATAACTTTAAAAATTCATTAATATACCTTAAAAAAGAGAAACTTATACAAATTTAACCAATTTAGAATAATCTTAAAAAAGTAAATATCTATAATTAGAAATAAACCTTAAATTTAAGGTAATCAGAACTAAGCCTATAAACACAAATAAATTTACCACTGTGTAAATATTATTTAAACAGTTAATTTTTTAAAATGGAATATGAATAAGAAGGCATGTTTTCAAAGGATGGCGGTTTATTTTTTACAATAAAGGCACATCAAAGGGCAGGTCGCCCTTTTAATAAATGGCTTTATTAGATGAAATTCATTTGTTGTTTTAAAATTCGTGGCTTAGTCAACAATATATAGAATAATTAAGAATGTGTAAAATAATGGAGGGATAAACAGGTAGAGAATTCAAATTAAATTTGGGATCCAAAAATTTAGAAGTTTTTATTTTTAAAGACTTGCAGTTCTAACTGTCTAGTGGAATTACTATATTCGCAGCCAAGTATCAGATGGTTTGGGAATCAGAAATTTTATCAAGCACACAGCTATTAAAGAAATTATGTATGGGGCATTTTAAATCCAATTAGATATGGTGCAATAAACTATTATAGTGAAATGGATATGAAAATAGTTACTGCTGAAGCACCTTCTCATATTTTTGCTTTAACTCATCTACTTCTTTCTTGAATAGGTCAATTTTGCTTTGACGTTCTTTATATAGTTTGATAGTTTTATTCTTACTCAAAAATCGTTTATCAATTTTTTTCTTTCTAAATTTATTTTGGGTTTCAGAGCCCATTTTGATACGATATATTGAGAAACGTGCGTAATAAACACTAACTCAATGTTTACAAATACAAATGGTATTATTGATTTCACTTCATTTCTAACATTTTCGGCACGAACTTTTCCTAAATGGTTCATTCTTACTGCACTCAAAATTTTGGAAGAATAGGAGAATATCGAGAATTTGGATTGCTGTAATCACATCTTATCTCATCTATGAAGGATTATAACATTTACACAGTTATTGAGTTTTACAAAAATAGGCAAATAACGACTTAAAAACATTGAGAGGTATAGATGCTTTTTTGCTTAGAACTAGAGCTGCACAATGAGCCATTGGCGACTGTCTGGAAAACATCCTTGAGGATGATCCGAAGACTTGCCATCGCAATTTGGATCCTTTACAGAGGGTATAGCTCCCCTGCTTTGGTATCCGGACAACCTGCTCGTGAAGTCGAGTTCTTTACAGTAGAACGGCTTAACAAGGACCGATACCACGCATCCTCGGTGCCTACGTCGGCTGATCAAATTGATCATCCACCCACCTACTGTAAGTGGGTGGGTGACCAATTTGATCAGCCGGCGTAGGCACCGAGGCTTACTGAACGCTACTACAGTGATGCTTTACTTCGATGTTCTTCTGCTGGGAATCGCATCCTTACGATCAGTCCACAGCAGGACTGAAAACAATGAAAAGTCTAGGTTTAAAGCATTCGCGATCGCAACGCTCGAATATACGCCATCTAGGTAGAAGACCGGTTCCATATCTTGACCCCCTTCCCTCTTCTCAGTTGCATAGGAATGTATTAAGATATTCTTCCTTTCTTCTCTCTTAATCTTTTTGAGTTTAATTGTCAAAAACATTTTTTAAAATTCCCACGATGCTTTCTTTTAGAATTATGTTCAATATAGTTTTCATTACCATATAGTTTCTTAACTTTAAAGTTTTTAATCTATTTGAAAATCAAGACGGAAACTAACGTACTTCCTTCTCCTATGAATCCCCACACGCTGTGGTGAAAGCATGAGAAGTGTTGCAATAGGTAGAGAGTTTTGCTCTGCGCCACCTAAGCCCATTTAGATCGCCGATTTGTTTAGCAATAAAAACTCGAAAACTTTTTTTTAATTAACAATAAAAATACATTGTGCTGCTGGAAACTTGAAAAATGGTAGAATCATTTGTTTTTGATGTATCCATGGAAATTGAAAATTTTGAATGTTATATATGTCGTAAAAAAGTTTTAAAAAAATCATTCATGTTCCAACATCGTTCAACTTATGCATTAATCTGATAAATTACCCGTGAAATGTTTGCAAATAAAGATTTTAATGAAAAGAAGGTTTAAAGTTGCATCTCGATGATAAGCAATTTTCCTGCGACATTTGTGATTGTAAATTTTATGATCGTTTCAGACTCAAAGCGCATTATCGAACTCATACTAATGAACGATCTTTTTGCGTGTGATATTTGCAATCAAAAGTTCTACCAAAATGGAAATTTGGAAAGGCACATCCTCGGTCATAACGAAGAAAGTCCTTATTCCTGCGGAATAGGCAATAAGAAATACCCTCACCAAATCTGTTTTAAATGGCATGTGCAGAATCATTCATTGCTCTCATCACTTGACAAACCAGTATCAAAAATTTAGAAACAAAGTCATATCCCAACAAGTCAAAAACAGTATTTTTGTACTGAATGTGATAAAAGCTATTAAAAAAAATCCTATCTTAAACGTCACTATTTGTTCATGCTAAAATCCTTGTTCATACTTCAAACATTACAGTTTTCATGTGAAATTTGTTGTAAAGCATTTGGTTTAAGTCCTAACATTAAAAAGCATTCCCTTCGACATTTGAGTAAAAAACCTTACTCCTGTGATATCTGTAGTAAAATATTTTTTACGGCTAGTGATGATCTAAATAAACAAAAAAAATTGTTCACACTACTGAAAAGCCATACGCACGTGATCTGTGAGGCTGGGATAGCCTGGTCGGTAGGGTGCTGGGCCACGTCCGAGAGTTCGTGGGTTCGAACCCGGCCGGCTGAAGTGGTGTAGTAAAGTGACTGATGCCCGCTTGATCTGTCGAGTCGCAAAAGTTCTACACGTTCCCATAACAAATCAATCCCTATCTGGCGGTACTGGATTGGAGATCGATCGTTATCTGTTTCAGGTCAAAATTACGATCTGTGGATGAATGAATGGATGCATGAATGGGTCCGCCCTATGAACTGGTGTGACGTATGATGTAGCAGAACTCGAATTCTTGGCCATAGATGGCGCCACTGGAAAACAAGAACAATCGCACCCCCTCTGCCTAAACAGGCATACGTCAACAGCAACAACGTGATCTGTGTTTCAAAAAATTTTCGCTTGTCACTATTTTAACGAAAAACAGCTGCAGTATAAAAAACTTTAGGGCAGGGGTAGGCAACGCTGCACCCGCGGGCGCCATGTCGCCCCCGATCGATTTTTAATGCGCCCTCGCTGGTCTAATGTAAATGTATGATAGCCAGAGCGATTTACTTATTCTTGTCAAACGGCGATATACAGCAAGTAGTCAGTTGAGTTTAGGATTGTGCATAGATTAGCAGTTTGCTAACCTTGAGCGTATCTAATAACACGCACGTATTTTTTGTTAGCGTGTGATCGTATTTCGAATAGACCACGCGATGACCGTGCATTTAAAACTACCAAGTAATCCGAAATAATTCTTTTCTTTCAAAACCCTTTATTGAAAGCGATGAACTGGATCCTAAATTAAACAGTGATCTAGTTTGGATGGGTGATCTAGTTTCACCACTGATGTAGTTTCTGACGCATCAGCTAAGTTTAACTGTGACTGTATTGTAACTTGTCGTTTTAGTTTCAGTTTGCTTTTATGTTTGAGCTTTTGTTTGTTTATCAATGCTTCTTTGCTATGCTTTCGTTATGTTTTAAATAATAAACGTTGTTAAGTTTAATAACGTTGTGTTTCTCTTTAAGATAGAGTTGTTATAGTTCAATTTTTTGTGTTTTAACACCCTTCATGGATAAATGTAAAAGAAAAAGAACATATTATTTTAAAGATGAATGGGAACATCTATACTGTTTCGTTGATTATAAAGGGAAGTGTATTTGTTGTGTAATAATAGTGTTGCGATTCCCAAGAAAAGTAATATTGAACGACATTTTAAGACCGTTCATACCAATTTTGATAGTGACTATCCAATGAACTCTGAAATTAGAAGAAAAAAAATTAATTTCTTTAAAATCTTCAATATCTAACCAGCAAAGTTTTTTTACTAAACCACTGCAACAACATAAAGCAGTAACGATCGCGTCATATGAAATATCGCATTTGCTAGCTGAGAATAAAAAACCGATTACAGATGGAGAATTAGTGAAAGAAGCCATGTTAGAAGCTGCTGATTCACTTTTTGAAGAATTTAAAAATAAAAAGGAAATAGTTTCAGCTATAAACACGTTGCAATTATCAGCACGAACTGTTACTAGAAGAATTGAAGTAATTGCGGAGAATTTGGAGGCAGAATTAGCAAATGATATGGAAAATTGGATTTTCTTTTCGCTACAGATGGATGAATCGACAGACGTGACAAATATATAAAAATTAGCAATTTGCGTGAAGATGGTATTTTCTGATTTTACAACAAAAGAAGAATTCCTTAAAGTTCTGCCATTAAAGGGAAGCACCAGAGGAGAAGATATCTTTCCTACTTTTAAAAAGTATATAACAGATGTAAAATTACCTGTACAAAAGTTATCGTCAATTACAACAGACGGGGCACCAGCGATGACCGGTAAGAAAAAAGGATTTATTGCCTTATGTAGACAGGATTCCTTATTCCCGAAATTTATTTCTTATCATTGCCTCATACACCAGGAAATGTTATGCGCGAAAACAATCGGTTTTCAACACGTATTTACGATAGTAACAAAAATTATTAATTCCATAAGATCGGGAGCTATGCAACACAGATTGTTTTAAATTACTTTTAGAAGATGAGGACGTTCAGTTCACAGATCTTCTTTTACAAACTGAAGTGAGGTGGCTGAGCAGAGGTAAAATACTTGAGCGGTTTATCATGCTTTTGCCACAAATAAAGGAATTTATTGCATCAAGAGGCGAATTTTACGAGCAATTAGAAAATAAGGATTGGCTGATCGACCTCGGATTTCTGACAGATATAACGGCAAAATTGAATAAATTAAATTTAAAAATACAAAGGAAAAATCACTGACATGATTAGTGCAGTAAATGCATTCAAATGCAAGTTAGTGTTGTTGAAATCCCATCTATTGAAAAAGTCATTATCACATTTCCCAAATATAAAATATATTGTTGAGAGTTTAAATTTGAATAATGAAAATTTTACTGCTACATCGTATTTAGAAATTATAGATAAGCTAATAGAAGAGTTTTCTTCTAGATTTGCAGATTTTGCAGCATTAGAACCCGTTCTAAGATTTTTCATTAATCCATTCAATGTTACTGAACATGATGTCCTTGAAATAGTTTCAGTGTATTTCGAGCTTCATAATATCGAAGACATAGAATTAGAAATAAAAAACTTGCAAAGTGATATTATTTTAAAAGTGCATAGTAATGATAAAATGTTTTGGAACTTAGTCGATGAAAATAAGCATCCTATTTTAAGGAAATGTGCGCTAAAATTTTTTTCATATTGTGCAACAACACACAATTGCGAGTCTTTATTCTCAAATATGAAATATTTGAAATCAAAATACCGAACAAAGCTTAATGACTGACATTTAGATAATTGTTTAAGGACCGGGAACTCTAAATATATCCCCAATTATAAGAAATTAGCCGAAAATATGGACACCAAAGTTTCACACTGAATTATATGTATCATTATGTATGACACCAACAAAATAAAGTTATAAAAAATCTGTTTTTATTTTTTTATTTTTAATGTCTGTTTATACCTGTTGATTATCTGTAAAATATGCGCCCTCGGTGATTTTCAAATTTAGTATTGCGCCCTTAAGGACAAACAGGTTGCCGACCCCTGCTTTAGGGTGACCATAACCATAGAAAAATGTAGTAAATGAAAAACTGAAAACCGATAT